TATAATCCCAGCACTTTGGGAGGCCAAGGTGGGTGGATGAGGTAAGGAGTTTGAGACCAGCCTGCATGGCGAAACCCTGTCTCTACTAAAAATATATAAAATTAGCCAGGCGTGGTGGCAGGTGCCTGTAATCCCAGCTACACAGGAGGTTGAGGCAGGACAACGGCTTGAACCCGGGAGGTAGAGGTTGCAGTGAGCCGAGATTGTGCCATTGCACTCCAGCATGGGCAACAAGAGCAAAATTATATCTCAAAAAAAAGGAAGAAAAAACATTTTGGGTTTGGGTGTGTGTTTTCTCCACAGGCTAAAGAAGGAAAGTCACAGGTTAATAGATACAGAAAAAGCATTTGACAAAATCTGACATCCATTCAGGATAAAAACTCTCTGTAAACTAGGAATGGAGGAACATTTCCCTCAACTTGTCAAAGAAATCTACAAAAACCCTACAGCTAACATCATATTCAAATGGTGAAAAACTCAAAGCTTTCCCTTGTAAAATCGGGAATAATACAAGAATGCTTTCTTTCACCAATCCTTTTTAACAACTGGAAAGTCTCAGGTAATGGAATACTGGAAGTTCTAGCTATTGCAATGAAACAAGAAAAGGAAATAAAAGGTATACACATTGGGAAGAAGTAAAACTGTTCGCATAAGACATAATAATCTATGCAAATTTACAAGACACAAGATTAATATACAAAATCCAAATTCTTTCTTAGATACATGCAATGAACAACTGGAATTTGAAATTAGAAATACAATAAATACCATTTAAAATAGCACCAAAAAATGAAATACATAGGTATAAGTCTAATAAAATAAATGGAAGGTCTACCTGAGGAAAACTATAAAACTCTGATAAGGAAAATTAAAAAACTAAATAAATGGAGAGATATTCCATTATTATTGACAGGAAGACCCAAAATTGTCAAGATGTCAGTTCTTTGCAACTTAGTCTACAGATTCAATTCAATCCCAATCAAAATTCTACCAAGTCGTTTTGTGGATACTGACAAACTAATTCTAAAGTTTACATAGAGAGGCAAAAGACTCAGAATAGATAACACAATATGGAAGGAGAGGAACAAAGCTGGAAGACTGACACAACCCAACCTCAAGACTTATTATAATGCTACCATAAATAAGAGAGTATGGCATTGGTGAAATAATAAACAAATAAATCAATGGAACAGTAGAGGGCCCAAAAATATACCCACATATAGTCCACTGATCCTTGAAAAAGGAGCAAAGGTAATATAATGGAGAAATCATAGTCTTTTCAACAAGTCGTATTAAAACAAATGAACATCCATAAACAAACAATGAATCTAGGCACAGATTTTACACGCTTCACAAACAATTGACTCAACCAGGCATGGTGACTCACGCCTGTAATCCCAGCACTCTGAAAGGCTAAGGTGGGCGGATCATGAGGTCGGGAGTTTCAGACCAGCCAGGCCAACATGATGAAACCCTGTCTCTACCAAAAGATGCAAAAATTAGCCAGGTGTGGTGGCGGGCACCTGTAATCTCAGCTATTAGGGAGACTGAGGCAGGAGAATCACTTGAAACCAAGAGGCGGAGGTTGCAGTGAGCCAAGACTGTGCCATTGGGTGACAGAGCAAGATACCATCTCAAAAAAACAAACAAAAAAAACCAAACCTCTCAATGGGTCATAGACCTAAACATAAAATAAAACTTCTGTAAGATAACACAAGAGAAAATCTATATGACCTTTAATATAGTGACACAACACCAAAGGCAAGAGCTATGAAACAAATAATTGACAAGATGAACTTCAGTAAAATTAAAATTTTCCACTCTGCAAAAGATAATGTGATCAAGTGAATAAAAAAACAAGCCACAGACATGGAGAACATTGTTGCAAAACACACATCTGATAAAGGACTATTATTCAAAATATACAAAGAACTAAACTCAACAGTTAGAAAATAACCTGTTTAAAAAAATGGACCAAAGACCTTAACACTTCACCAAAGAAAACAGAATAGAAAATAAGCATATGAAAAGATTTCCACATAACGTCATCAGGGAGATGCAAATTAAAACAACAAAGGGCCAGGTGAGGTGGCTCACACCTGTAATCCCAGCACTTTGTTAGGCCAAGGCAGGCAAATTACTTGAGCCCAGGAGTTTGAGACCAACCTGGGCAACATGGAGAAATCCTATCTCTAAAAGCATACAAAAATTAGCCATGCATGATAGCTCATGCCTGTAGTCCCAGCTACTTGGGAGGCTGATGCAGGAGGATCACTTGAGCCCAGGAAGTGGAGGTTGCTGTGAGTGGAGACTGTGCCACTGTAATCTAGCCTGGGCAACAGAGCAAGACCCTGTCTCAAAAATAAACACATAAATAAAACAAAATATTAGGTTGGTGCAAAAGTAATTGGGGTTTTACCATTAAAGGTAATCTCACACTTTGGGGGGTGAGGTGGGCTTGAGCCCAGGAGTTCAAGACCAGCCTGATCAACATGGCAAAACCCCATCTCTATTAAATATACAAAAAATTAGCTGGGTGTGGTGGTGTATGCCTATAGTTCCAGCTACTCAGGAGGCTGAGGTGGGAGAATCACCTTAGCCTAGGAGGTTGAGGCTACAGGAACCCGTGACTGTACCACCATACTCTAGCCTGGGCAATGAGGGCGAGACACTGTCTCAAAAAAAGAAATAAATACTATTACACAACTAAGAGAATGGCCACAATCCAGAACATGGACAAGTACTCAAACACTGGGTGGATGTGGAGCAACAGGCACTCTCACACATTGCTGGTAGAAAAGCAAACTCATAAAGCCACTTTGGAAAACAGCTGGCCATTTCTTTCAAAACTAAACATACTTGTACATATGATTCACCAATGTGACTCCTTCATATTCACCCAAAAGACTTGAAAACTATATACATACAGAAATCTGTACACAGATATTTATAACAGTTTTATTCATAATAGCCAAAATTTGGCAGTAACACAGATGTTCCTCCCTATGTGAATGAATAAACTATAGTACATCCAGACAATGGAATATTACTGAGCAGTAAAAAGAAACGACAGACCAGGTGTGGTAGCTCATGCTTATAATCCCAATACTTTGGGAGGCTGAGGCAGGCAGATCACCTGAGGTCAGGAGTTCGAGACCAGCCTGGCCAACATGATGAAACCCTGTCTCTACTAAAAATACAAAAATTAGAAGGTGTGAGCACATGCCTGTAATCCTAGTTACTCGGGAGGCTCAAGCAAGAGAATGGCTTGAATCGCTCGAACACAGGAGGTAGAGGTTGCAGTGAGCTGAGATCGTGCCACAGCACTCCAGCCTGGGCAACAGAGCGAGACTCTCTCACACACACACAAAAAAAAGATTTAGAGATTTGAGAAAAAAATTCTAAAAATTAAAAAACTAACAAACAAACAAATGAGCTATCAAGCTATGAAAAGACATGGAGGAAATTTAAATACATATTACTGAGTGATGGAAATCAATCCGAAAAGGCTATATACTATATGATGGAAAAGGCAAAACTATGAAGACAGTACAAAGATCAGTGGTTGCAAGGGTTGAGAGAAGAGGAGAATGACCAGGCAAGTACAAAAAATTTTTAAGGCGGTGAAAATAGTCTATATGATACTATAATGACATATATTGATATATCATTGATTATGATAAAATGTGTACATCATTATGTATCATTCAAACCCTTAGAATATACAACACCAAGAGTAAATGTTTACTGCAAACCATGGACTTTGGGTGATTATATGTCAATGTAGGTCATCAGTTGTAACAAATGCACCACTCTAGTGGAGTTAGTAATGGGGGAGGCTATGCATGTGTGGGTCAAGGAGGTATGTTGGAAACTCTTCACCTTCCTCTCAATTTTGCTGTAAACTTAAAACTGCTCTTAAAAAATACTGCTTAAACACACACCCAAATATACATCACCCAAAACAGATTCAGCAACTTAAAATCTTTGGCTAGAAATACTTAAACACACACCCAAATATACATCAACCAAAACAGATTCAGCAACTTAAAATCTTTGGCTAGAAAAGGATTTAAACAAAAATTTAAAATTTTTATTTCCCTTACACTGTTTAAAAGAGGGAAGGAAATGCTGGTAAAACCATATATATTCATTGGAACTTCTTAAAACTTACTAAGGCTATCTGACATCTACTATATGGCTTATTATTTTGTGATTTTCTTCTTTGCCATAACTATAAAAGTTTATGGTAAAATCAGAATATGTGACTTTCCAACCAATTCTGATGCTTGTCTCTTAAATGAAAATAGTCACCATTCTAAAAAATTAGAATTGGATCCTCCCTAACGCCTATAAATCTACTTTGTGCCAAGAATCAGGAGGAACAGATGGATGATTAATATCTCCTTTATACCAATTTCAGAGAGTATAAATTGACTACAAAAAGGAACTTTATGAGTCACCAATTCTAAGTGCATGAGTATAATCTGCTTCTTTCAATGTACATTCTTGTGTTTAATGTAACGAATATGACTTTAGAAGGCATAAGGAAGAATTTCCTTGGGTTCATTCTTAACCAAAATTTATAAGGTTGATCAAAGTACACATAAGAAAAATCAATCTTCACTGCCAGGCAACAGGAGGGAAAATATTCTAGAAAGAAGAAACTTGTGTACTTGCATCTTTGAGACTATAAAATATATGAGTTCATGGCTGGCTACAAGAAATTCAGTCATCCACAGCACTATAGGACTGTAAAATTTAAAAACGTTACAAAAGATATTCAACATTTCCATTCATCTAATATTCTTTTGGTAGTCTATATTCTTCCATAATAAATTTTTCAAAAATATTCATTAATTATAGCATTTATGTAAAGAGAAAACTTAGGACATCCATGATGGAAAAATCCTTCATGACGACATGAACCAAGCAAAATCTCCTGTATTCAGATCTATTATTTTCACAAAAACTCCTTCATGGTTTTCTTAAACACCTACCTCTTGTAGAACTGGGATAACAGGTGGCTTTCTCTGCTGCAGAAAGTACAGCACCATAAGGATATATGCATATGAAGATAAACTTCCCCTGGAAGCATCCCCAATGTCACATCGCTAAAAAACAACATTATTTAAAACAAAACTTCAGAGTCTTACACCATGCAGAAATACTGAATATTCTGCCACATCATTTTTTTTTAAACCCACAGAACTGAGTTAAACTGGGTTAAAAACAAACTGCTATAGGCTGGGTGCACTGTCTATAATCCCAACGCTCTGGGAGGCCAAGGTGAAAGAATAGCTTAAGCCTAGGAGGTCAAGACCAGCCTGGGTAATGTAGTGAGACTCCCTCTCTACAAACAAACAAAAAACTGCTATACATGATGTGGGGAAATAGGTACTCTCATACATTGCAAGTGAGAGTAAATTAATACAAATGAAGAATAGTTCATATTGTAATACTATGAAGAATAGTTTGACAATATCATAATTACAAAAGCACATTTTCTTTGAACTAGAAATCCTATTCTAAGAATGTACCCTGCAAACATGCCAAAAATATGTGAAATAACTAAGAAGCTTTCTTTAATTGTAACACTGTTATAGTAGCAAAAAAATCAGAAATAATTTTAGGTTCATCAGTAAAGCACAAGTTTAAAATAACTAAGGATTATTTACATAATGGAATGGTATGCAGCCATTAAAAAAGAACAAGGTCCCCGATAGTCTAGTAGTTAGGAAAAATATCTTTTTTAATAAATAAAAAATAAATGAGCCCAAGAGTTCAAGACCAGTCTGGTCAACACAGCGAAACCCCTTCTCTACAAAAAATACAACAACAGCTAGGCATGGTGGCACATGCCGGTATTCCCAACTACTCAGGAGGCTGAGGTGGGAGGATCAATTAGGCCCAGGTGGTCCAGGCTGCAGCATGCTGTAATTACACCACTTTATTCCAGCCTGGGCAACAGAATGGGACCCTGTCTCAAAAATAAAAATAAAGGCTGGGCAAGAGGGCTCACATCTCTAATCACAGCACTTTGGGAGGCTGAGATGGGTGGGTCACCTAATGTCAGGAGTTCGAGGCCAGCCCATCTAACATGGCAAAACACTGTCTCTACTAAAATTACAAAAAGTAGCCGGTTGTGGTAGCAGGCACCTGTACTCCCGGCTAGTTGGCAGGCTGAGGCAGGGAGAATTGCTTGAACCCAGGAGGTGGAGATTGCAGTGAGCTTAGATTGTGCCACTACACTCCAGCCTGGGTGACAGAGCAAGACCCCATCTCAAAAACAAAAAAAGAAAATTTAAATTTAAAAAAAGAGAACAAGGAAGTTATTCTACTAATAAGAAATTATCTCCAAGATCTACTGCTAGGTAAAAAAACACAAAGTGAAAAACAATATATTCAGTGTGTTTATATCTGTAATAAAAAGGAGATGGGAAATTTATGTATTTCCTAGTACTGGTATAACATATTTCTGGAAGGATGCAGGGAAACTCTTAACACTGGTTGTCTCCAGCAAGAGGCTGATTGGCTAGGAGGTAAGTATGGAAGGAAGATTTTCCATTTTCTACCATAAATTCCTTTAGACCTTTTGAATTAATTTTTTCAATATTTGAGACAGAGTCTCACTCTTTTGCCCAGGCTGGAATACAGTGGCATGATCTCAGCTAAATGCAACCTCTCCACCTCTTGGTCTCAAGCAATTCTTGTGGTTCAGCCTCCCGAGAATCTGGGACTGCAGGTGTATGCTACCACAACTGGCTGACCTTCTGAATTCTGAACAAATGATTATGTTGGCTATTCAAACAATTTTAAATTTTAAAAAATAAAAATAAAAACCTGGCTGGGCTCTGCTGTTCATGCCTCTTATGCCAACACTTCAGGTGGGAGGCACAAGACAGACTGATTGCTTGAGCCCAGGAATTTGAGACTAGCCTGGGCAATATGATGAGACTCTGTCTCTACAAAAAAGACAAAAATTAGTCGGAGGTGGCAGTGTCTACCTGTCGTCCCAGCTACTTGGGAGGCTGAGGCAGGAGGATCGCCTAAGCCTGGGAGTTTGCGGCTGCAGTGAGCCATGATCATACCACTGAACTCCAGCCTGGGTAACAGAGTGAGATACTGTCTCCAAAAAACAAAAAAAAGAACCTGAAAGAATCTTCAGAGACTTCTTCCCTTGAGCAAGGATTTAGCTTATCTTTATTTAAAGGTAAAGAAGTGATTTTTTTTTTTTTTTTTTTTTTTTTGAGACAGAGTCTCACTCTGTCACCCAGGCTGGAGTAGAGTGACGCAATCTTAGCTCACTGCAATCTCAACCTCCCGGGTTCAAGCGATTCTCCTGCTTCAACCTCTGAGTTGCTGGGACTACAGGCGTGTGCCACCAGGCCAGGCTAATATTTTTGGATTTTTAGTAAAGACTAGGTTTCACTGTGTTAGTCAGAATGGTCTTGATCTCCTGACCTTGTGATCCCCCCTGCCTCAGCCACCCAAAGTGGCAGAATTATAGGCATGAGCCACCATGCCCGGTAGTTATTTTATTACCAAAATTCTATGTAGTTATAACAAAACTGCCATGTTAGAATTACCTTGTTAGATCAATCTAGAAAAGGAGGCGTATCAAGTCTTATATGTAGTATGTGCCTGATTGCTTTTCTAAGAAACACTCTTGTCTACAAAGACATGTATAGGAATATCTTTAAAAATATGCTTTCCAGCCGAGCACAGTGGCTCATGCCTATAATCCCAACACTTTGGGAGGCCACGAGTTCAAGACCATCCTGGCCAACATGGTGAAACCCCATCTCTACTAAAAATACAAAATTTAGCCAGGCATGGTGGTGAGTGCCTGTAATCCCAGCTACTTGGGAGGCTGAGGCAGGAGAAACATTTGAACCTGGGAGGTGGAGGTTGCAGTGAGCAGAGATCGCACCACTGCACTCCAGCCTGAGCAACAGAGTGAGACTCTGTCTCAACAACAACAAAAGCCTTCCTATTAGAAAGAAGAAGCTTTATGAAATGAAAATCTGACCAAGTTTCTCCCCTACTAAAACTCTTCCACTAACATACTGATAAAGTTAATCATTTTACTGAGAGGTTGCCATAAAGCAGGCACTACATTGAACTAGGGAAACAGAGGTCCCTCTCCTCATCTAGTTTACACATTTAGCAAAAGAACAAGAAAACTAAATTCAATGTCTTAATAAGTGTTATAATAGGAGAAGCATAAGGTATTGTTGGTATTGTTTTGTTTTCTGGGTCAGAAACATTTATCACTAAACTCAAACACATTTCTTAACCAGAAATTCTTAACTAGGATGGTATACCAACTCCCATGCCTGTGGTTGAAAATCAACTGCATTGAGAAATTTTACTGCTGAGGAACTGACTAGTGAGTTGCACATGGGAATAGAGCACATACAGGAAAAAGACTAAGAGCCACCCTACTATGGTAGTTATCAATTCAACCTATATAATACTCAAACTTTCTTTTTTAAAAGCTCAGATAAACAAAACTGAGACAAAATTTTTCACAAATCTGACATTAGTATGTTTCACTTTCATTATCATGAGCATTACTACAAAGCAGATCATTAATTTTTTCATAAATACCTTAGCAAACACTTTCATAGTATATCCCAAATACTGCACTCTAGGATCAATAGCTGCATAAGTAGCTAGCATTCTTGTGTTATGTTGAGCCTGAAAAATAATTACATATTTGAAAGCATTTCAAATTTTTTTAAATTAAACTACAAATCAGATTTAAAAATATAATACACTCCAAATACAAAATGTACAAATGTAAAATATCTATTAATGATTCAAACAAAAACTGATCTTCAATCTGAAGGAAATATCAAGATGACTAATAAAATACTTTTTTCTTATACTGTTCACATTTGAAAGTTTTAAACACAAAGGTAGAGTCAGTAATCTGTAAACTTTTAAAATTAAGTTTATACACGGCCCGTAAAGATAAACTTACCAATGTATTATATAAACTGATATCGCCTTCTAACCCACTTCGTCTGTGTTCAAATTTTACTATAGGCACTTTAGCAGTAGTTATAGGCAAAATGTTTCTCAAACCTAATTAAAAAAAAAAGACTTCAGTAGGTTAAGCAATGTTCATAATGCTAAAAAAAATTTTTTCTTTCGTTTTAAAGATAAGATTTAAAATTCATACCTGGATGTCTCTTAAGAATTTTTGCCAAATTTTCAATTATTTCCTTACAATTTAATTTCTAAAAAACAAACGAAATAAAGTTTGACTCAATTTCACCTTGTGCAAATTCTACTTTAGGCATTTAGTAGCATTTAAAATTTCCAGCCATAAAGCTCTATAATAACCTTGCTACTCCAAGTAAGTGATTCACAGACGTAGAGTATCAGCATAATCTGCAAACTTGACAGAAATGCAGAATCTGAGGACCCTCATCAGTCTACTAAATCATAATCTGCATTTTAACAGGATCCCAAGGTAATTCACATGCAGATTAAAGTTTGAGAAGCACAAAGACAGGAGAAGAAAATGGTTTTCAATAAGTGAATAAACAACTAGAGGTGAGTTGTTTGTGGTGAGGGCAAAACAACAGAGTGATTAAGTACACAGGCTCTAAATTGAGACAAACCTGGACTCAAATAAGTATTGATTAGCTGTGTGACCGACCAGACGTTTAACGTCTCTGAGCATCACATTACTATTTTATAAAATTAAGATAATCATAAAGTCCTGTCCTGCAGAGCTGTTGGGAGGATTACATGAGACATTTATGTAAAACACTCAGCAATGAATGCCTGGCACAAAATAAACCTTTAAATCTGTGAGTTATTTATTATTATTATGCTGATGTGGAAAAGAAAGATACTATTATCACCAGCACCTATTTCTCCAAGGAAAATTCTTACCCCTGAAAATTTAAGTGTGCTACTGTTGTAAAAACCAGAGAGAGCAGAGTTGGTATGGTAATGATAATCATAATACATAATGATTATGGCATTATAAATTAACTGAAAATACCTGAATGGTATAAACATCAATCCCAAGAGTTATTATAAAGTCACTTGCATTTTTCCAACATGCCCTTCATAGCTACATGAGAGCAGGAGCCATTGCAGCTAAACCAAAGGATTTCAAAGAAACCGTTAGTTACTAATTCACATATGATAAAATTAGCAAAGGAGGTAATTTTTCTCTTTATTATTCAAGGATACAATTATGCTTAATTTTTAAAGTTTAATTACGACTCATCTGAAAGAAAATGATTTATTATTTTCATTGTTTCAACTTCCCAATATGAATGGCACAGATTATATATGATAGACAAACCCTTAGTGATTAGAAGTTTAATTAATAAATTTTACATAGAAGATATCTAAAACTCTAACCTCCTTCCTGGATAAAAAAAAAAAAGTAATTTCCTATTCCCTCAATTCTGACTCTTCAGAATGGAGAAGGGCAGCCACTTTCTAAGTAGGTGGCTCTAAGCAGAATTTAGCAAAGGAGAACAAATAAAATATTTGCAATTTTTCAGTTTCTTTATAAAACAACATGTTAACACACCAGAAGCAACTTCCTGTAGCCAGAAATAAGGCATCACTGCCATTTGTACTCTGGGTCTATCAATTTCAAAACCACTTTTCAAAAGAATTTCAGAAAAACACAGTATTCTCCTCAATTCTTTTGTAACATAACAGAGGCTATACTGATACCACTACAGATGCCAGAAGCTGGGCCTCACCCCAATCTTGCAGTCCCTCATTTTCAAACACAAATACCAATAGCTAGGCTGGTAAAGGACCATCCATAAGAATCCCCTCCTTTGCTAGTTGCCATTGAAAAGGCCTGGGACATTTCTTCCCTGTCCAATCAGTCCCTTTCTTCCCTGGAGCTTGGACCATCTCCTTCCCACTATTAAGGCCTGGTAGACAAAAAGGGAAAGCTTAAGGACCCACTCTCAATGCTGAAATTGCACTTGGGGAAGGTCTGCTCCTGGCATCTCACGGTGGAATTCAGAAAGCTTTCTGTTTCAGAAAGTAGTGGTTAGGTTCTACAGTACTATTAGTACTATATTTCAGCTACATTATGGGTTAAAAAAAAATTACAGAGAGGCAGTGAGATACAATGGAAAGAGCATGAACTCTGGAGTCAGACAGACCTGGGTTACGAATCCCGGCTCCAACATTTACTAGCTGTGTGAACTTGGACAAGTCAGTTTATCTCTCAAAGCCTCAGTTTCCTCATCTGTAAAATGGGGGAAATAATACCTACCTCGAAGGTGGTTGTAAGAACGAAATGAGATAATGTATGTAAAAGTGTATACTGGGAACTCAATAAATGTTAGTTCTCCTCCCCGCCCAAAATGAGTTTCTAAAAGCTATCTTAGCATTTATTTATTTTTATTTATTTATGACAGAGTCTTGCTCTGTCGCCAGGCTGGAGTGCAGTGGCATGATCTCGGCTCACTGCAACCTCCACTCCCGCATTCAAGCAATTCTCCTGCCTCAGCCCCCTGCCCTAGTAGCTGGGACTAAAGGCGCACCCCAGCACGCCCAGCTAATTTCTGTATTTTCAGTAGAGGCGAGGTTTCACCACGTTGGCCAGGATGGTCTTGATCTCTTGACCTCGTGATCCACCTGCCTCGGCCTCCCAGAGTGCTGGGATTACAAGCGTGAGTCACCACGCCCAGCCCTTAGCATATCATTTATAACACCGCTTCTATGGAAAAAATTGTATGTGAGTGGCCAAAAATTAAAACTAACTTTTAGAACAAAACCAATTATAATTAGATGACCACCTGTATTTACTACCTACAGTGATACAAAGATATTATCTAATGGAAGAAATATGAGAAGACAAAGTATGAAAGGTCAATGTTCACTATAAAACTGAAACATCAGCTTCTCATTGGGTCTAGTGAAAAAAATTCAAACCTTATGGCATATTATTTTTTCCCAAAATTCATTACAAATCACTCTCAGTGACATGGTTTTTGCATCATAAAATTACTGAAACACTAATTTTACTTATTTTAAGATTTCAGTGTCTTCTAAATTGAAAATGCTATTGTTTTCATATTTCAAACACTGTTATTTTGCTAATGTATTTATACAAAGAGTGACACCAGTTTATCAATATCACATACAAAAATAATAATAGAATCATCAATGGGAGAAAACAAACTTTCATAACAAACACTCTTACCTCTGCATTTTCATGGCCTTCCAGGGTCATACAAATATCCAGATCACTATCACGAAATCCAAATCCATTCTTAGAAGAGCCAAATAAGCACAATCTTGCCTTTTCTAAGCAAAGGAAAACAGAGTCCAAAATCTTATTATTTGCAGAGAGGAGGAGTCTTCAATGATCTACTAATAATCTAATACAACATGATTTTGTCCATTTCTATGATTTAAATTACCTACCACTGGAAGAAATACGAGATATTCCAAATCATCTTGAGCTCAAGTTTCCATACCCATGTACCCAACTGCTCTTCCCAATTTTCCACAGACATCATAAATTCAACACGTCTAAACTATCAACTTCACCCCAAACCTATTGTTATTTTTATTATCCCTATTCTCAGCAAATAGTACCATCATGTACTCAGTTGCTCACATCAGAAATACAGGTGCAATCCTTAATCTCTCTCTCTCAGTGTCCATATCCAATCAATCACTAAGACTTTTAGCTTTTTCAGACTTATGTAATAAATCCAACTACTTTTATTCACTCTCAGCATCACTACCAATAGTTAAGATTAATTTCTGAGAACTGACCTCTTAAAAATAAATTAATTCTTTCAAACCACTATTCAGGTAGGTTTACAAAAATCACCTTAGTACATGATTCTCTTCCAAAAATAAGTGTTTAATCCACTTGGTATAAATTATGATAGGGTTAACCCTTCAGACTCATCCAATGACAGCTACCATTTCAAATAAGCTATGGTTTAATAGAGGTGCATTTTTCTTCCTATTATTTTTTTTATTTTTTAGAGACAGGGTCTTGCTATGTTGCCCAAGCTAAAGTACACTGACTATACACAGGTACAATCATTATGCACTACAGTCTTGGACTCCCTGCCTCAAGCAATACTCCCACCTGAACCTCCCAAGTAGCTGGGATGACAGGTACGTGCCACTGGGCCTGGCTCTTCCTATTAATTCTTAACTAGACTAGACATTTAGATAGGACATTTTATATTTGGAAAACTTCATTCTCCCATCCAGCTCTGATGCTCTACTTGAAATTTCAATGATGGCTGAGATGCATATAAGAAACTATACTCAACAGCAAATAAAAATGAGCATGAGTTTTCCATAATAGAGACTTAGATTTGGTCAATACTTGATTCTCCTATAATCCCAGAGCTTCAGAAAGCCAAGGTGGGAGGATCATTTGAGGTCAGGAGATTGAGACCAGCTTGGGCAATATGGTAAGACTTCATCTTTGCAAAAAAATGTTAAAATAAAAAAGAAGGCAGAGTGTGGTTGCTCAAGCCTGTAACCTCAGAATTCTAGGAAGCTGACGGGAATGAATCATTTGAGTTCAGGAGTTTGAGACCTGCTTGGAAAACATGGTGAAACTCCATCTCTGCAGAAAATAATCAGCTGGGTGTGGTAGTATGCACCTGTGGTCCCAGATACTCAGGAGGCTGAGGCAGGAGGATCACTTGAACTTGAGAGGTCAAGGCTGAAATGAACCCTGATTACATGATTGCACCACTGCAGTTAAGCCTGGGTGACAGCGCAAGATCCTGTTTCTTTTTCTTTCTTTTTATTTTTTGAGATGGAGTTTCACTCCTGTTACCCAGGCTGGAGTGCAATGGCGCTATCTTGGCTCACCGCAACCTCTGCCTCCTGGGTTCAGGCAATTCTCCTGCCTCAGCCTCCTGAGTAGCTGGAATTACAGGCACGTGCCACCATGCCCAGCTAATTTTTTGTATTTTTAGTAGAGACAGGTTTCACCATGTTGACCAGGATGGTCTCGATCTCTTGACCTTGTGATCCACCCACCTCGGCCTCCCAAAGTGCCGGGATTACAGGCTTGAGCCACCACGCCCAGCTGCAAGATCCTATTTCAAACAAATACATACGTCTTTTTTTTTTTTTTTTTTTTTTTGAGATGAAGTTTCACTCTTGTCACCCAGGCTGGAGTGCACAGGCATGATCTTGGCTCACTGCAACCTCTGCCTCCCAGGTTCAAGTGATTCTCCTACCTCAGCCTCCCGAGTAGCTGGGATTATAGGCGTGTGCCACTATGCTCAGCAATTTTTTTTATTTTCAGTAGAGATGGGTTTCACCATGTTGGTCAAGCTGGTCTCGAACTCCTGACCCCAGGTGATCCACCTGCCTCAGCCTTCCAAAGTGCTGGGATCACAGGCGTGAGCCACTGCACCCGGCCAAAAAAAAGTTCTTTTTTAATAAAAAATTAGCCAAGCATGGTGGTACACACCTCTAGTCCTAACTACTTGGGAGGCTAAGGCGGGAAGACTGCTTGAGACTGGAAGTGTGAGGCCGCAGTGAGCTATAATTATGCTACTGCACTCTATCTAGTCTGAGCAACAGATAAGACTCTGTCTCTAAAAAAAAAAATAGAATTTTTTTTAATTAAAAAATTTGTTTTCAAATACTTTTAAATGTAATATTATAGCACATAATGGATCATCTTGTAAAAGTAAAAAATCATTGATTATAAATCAACTATTTGTCCTTTCCTAAAATATTTGGCCACAAAACTCTTGATTCTTCATCCCCATTCCCAAAACTTACTCTTCCTGCTCTTTGCCATCTCATTTAAACAGGACCACCCAACTGTTACCATTAATGCAAAAACTTTGAAACCATCCTTGATTTCTTTCTCTCACATCGCACGTGTTTTCCATCAGCAAACCGTGTTGGCTCTACCTTCAAAATATATCCCAAATCTGACCACTTCTCATCGACTCCTCCAAATCACTATTATGTCTTACCTGGACTTACAAAACAGCCTCCTAAATGTTCTGCTTGCTTCTAGTCTTATAGCCCAGCAACCTATTCTCTCAGATCATGTCATTTAATTACTAAAAATTCTCTAAAAGATTCTCATTAGGTACTCAAATTAAAATTCAAAGTCTTTCTACCCACATCCATAGGGCCCTAATGACTTAATCCCTAGACTACCTCTCTGACCTCATCTATCCATTACAATCTACCTAATACTCCACTCGAGTCACACTGACTTCCTGGCTATTCTTCAAACATGCCAGACATAATCTAGACTGTTTCACTGACAATGTTTTCTCCTTGGATATTTATATAACTTGCTCCTTCATCTTATTCAGGATTCTGTGTAAATGCTACCTCATCAGAGAGACCTATCATAACACCCATCACTTCAATTCTTTTATCTCCTACTCTTTAACAGCATGTATTATTTGCTGATATAATATTATATATTTATTAGTCAACTATTTGTTTCCCCATCTGAAACATAAGCTTCATGAGAGGTTTCATCTCTTTTACTAGCACTGTATTCCCAGCAATGAGAATAGTACTTAACACATAACATTCAATAAACATTTTTAAATAAATGAAAGCCAAGACTATGTGACTACAGCAAAAACATAATAAATTTTTTAACCTATAACATACCATCATATTCTTTTTGAATAAACTTTTCCAAGCCAATTAAAATTTGCTCCCTGTTGTGTTGTTCAGAACAAGGTGGTGATAACTCATCTGGGTTTACAAAAAGAAGAAAAAAGGAAAAAGAAAAAAGTAAGGAAAATATAATCTGAAAACATCTTCAAGCTTTTACCCTAAAAATTTTACTTACAGTTTGTTCATTATTTGTTGACTTCTCTGACTTTAAAACCATAAATGTTACTGGGGAAAGGTCAGGGAGATAGCAGGAAAAAAAAACTTTTTTTCTGTTTTAGCAACCCAGAGGAAGAAATGGAACAGAAAAATAATTTTTAAAATGTGTACATTTCACATGATCATTTTCCCTCAATGCCTGGTCAAAATTCCTATCTTCCCTATAAACTGTTTTGCCAAACCACAGCATTTAATGATCTCTCTTTAGTTCCACTTCGTCAGTTTTTCGAACTGCATGCCACAGTCTAGTATCCGATTTATTTTATCCTTTTGATTTCTTAGTTATTTTATTTATATTCATCTTATTATTCCAAATAAGTCCATATATTTCTTAAGAACAAAGTTTTTTCCCCTATCTCTTCACACTCATCTCAGAAAGTTAATACAGTAACAGGAACAAAGCAGTAATTTATAAAGAATTTGTTATAGCTGGGCGTGGTGGCTCACACCTGTAATCCCAGCACTTTGGGAGGCCGAGGCGGGCAGATCACGAGGTCAAGAGATCGAGACCGTCCTGGCCAACATGGTGAAACCATGTCTCTACTAAAACAAAAAAATTAGCTGGGCATGGTGGCACACACCTGTGGTCCCAGCTACTCGGGAGGTGGAAGCAGGAGAATTGCTTGAACCCAGAAGGCAGAGGTTGCAGTGAGCCGCAATCGCGCCACTGCACTCCAACCTGGTGCCTGGAGATGGAGTGAGACTCTTTCTCAAAAAAAAAAAGAATTTGTTATAATGAATTAAACTAATATTCAACTTTTTCAAAACAAATGCAGTTATCTGTGCTTACAGAAGAAGGGGAGTTAAATAAATAAAATTCATGTAATTTGTTAATTGGTTTTTAGGGCAGTGAAACTATTCTGTATGATACCGGAAAGGTAGATATATGACATAATGCACTTGTCAAAACCCACGGAACTTTGTAGCACAAAGTGTGAGCCTTAATGTTTGCAATTTTTAAAACCTCATCTAGGAAGTCAGGGGATCTTAGGATATAATAAAGACTGTGACAAAATAATCTAACTGTATTATAAATGTATGAAACAACTTCACATGAGGGACTGGGGGAAAAGTGCTGACCAAAGTAAATTTGAAAATGAGAGGAATCTATAAGACTAAGGGCAAAAGGAACCATACATAAGCACTGTACTCTAGTTAATAAAGTTGTTTCCCACAGGGGTATCGGTTAACAGTTCTGATACTGCTATATATATGTACTAAAATGGACCAATTTAAGATATGAGTAATAGATATGGGAACCAGGTTTCTCACTGTTGGAGGGGAGTTTACAGATACGCATGGTTAAAATGAGCCATGTGGTAATGGGTTAGAGTCAGAGATACCATCATGAAATTATGTTTGGTTTAATACAGATAAGATGGCTACATATAGAAATATTTATAGTAAGCTTATATACATAGGTTAGTATATACAGACGTATTTTCTTCCTCTGAGGTGGTCTCAAAGTAATGACAGACCAGTAATAGCAAGCATACCTAGTATTCAGATCTTGGTTTCTAATATCATTTTCCAATAAAAGGAATTACAGATCCTTGGAGAAATGCCTAATTCTAGGACTAAGGCACAAAACATACATGAAGCGCCAGGAGCATCTTGTAGTGCCAGAAAATAAGGAAGTGTTAAAACCCAAACAAACAAAAAAAACCACATACTGATGGATGTATACAAAAGGGAACCAGAAGCCAAGTGAAACAGCTCCCAATGGCCAAAGCTGGAATAACTTAAACAAAAGAAAAATTATATTCAATTATAACCCAAAGTATCAAATATCTATGAGCCCACACTGAGATAAATAAATGACTAAATAAAAACAAATGCAGTAAATTGTGTCTTAATAAAGCTGCTAAAAAACATGTGCCGTGATCCAGCCATTCCACTACTAAGCATTTAGCCAAGATAATGAAAGCGTATGTCCATACCCAGACCCATACAGCCAAAATTTTGAAGTGAAACAAATATTTATCAACAGGTAAATGAATAAACAAATTGTGGTATAGCCATACAATGGAACACTACTCAGATACAAGAATAAATTAACCACTGATAGACAACAACATGAATGAATCTCAAAGTAATATACTGAGTGAAAAAAACCAGACAAAATAAAGTGAGACCAAAAAAAGAACACATTCTGTACAATTACACTTAAACAGAACTCTAGAAAATGTAAACTATTGATAGTGACAAAAGCAGAAAAGTAGTTGCCTGGTGGGAGGTGGAAATGCGGAAGAAGGGGGAGATTACAATGAAGCACTAAATGTTATGACACCAGAAATTTTATCTTACCTGGACACAGAAAGTAATTCATAAATATTTGCTGAGTAAAGGTGACTCCCAGGTACTCTGTAAACATTTGCTGAATAAAGGCATGCAAGGCTTTCCCCATAGTATCTTTATAGCCTTGTCTCTCTCTACTGCTTTTCTTATACCCTATCAAATCAAAGGCAATTATTCCCCCAACAAAATATGCACTCTATGCTTTTTTTTTCTTTTTTATAAAATAGAGTCTTGCAATGTTGCCCAGGCTAGAGTAAAATGGCCCCATCTCGCCTCATTACAACTTCCACCTCCTGGGAAGTGATTCTCCTGCCTCAGCCTCCCAAGCAGCTGGGACTACAGGTGCGTGCCACCATGCCTGGCTAATTTTTGTATTTTTAGTAGAGACAGGGTTTCACTATGTTGGCCAGGCTGGTCTTGAACACCTGACCTTGTGATATGCCTGCCTCGGCTTCCCAAAGTGCTGGGATAACAGGCATGAGCCACCGCACCCAGCCACTTCATGCTTTCATGCATAATCTTCAATGTTTAAAGATGCAGCTCAAGGTCTGTCTCAAATACCACATCATTAATCCTGGTTCCACCGATCCACCCCAGATAAATTAATTGTGTTTACACTGCGTTTCATTTACCACTACTATAGCATGTACCACATTCTTCTTCCAATTATGGCAATTTACATTCATGCTGTATTAATCCATCTAGAGCAGTGTTATCCAAGAATGCTGCAAGGATGAAAATGTTCTCTATCAATGCTGTCCAATGCAGCAGCCACTAGCTACATGTAGCTACTGAGTACTTGAGATACGTCTAGTATAAAACTGAAGAACTTGGTTTTACTTTAATTTTAATTTATTTAAATTTAAAAGCCACATAGGCTAGAAGCTACCATGTTAGAAAGCTCATATCCATATTCTAAGCTCCTTAAAAGCAATATATATGGACTCTCTATTCCCCTTGGCATTTACTATGATGCCCTGCACACATACTAGTCATATAGTAAATATCTGTACTTGGGTCTCCATTCAAAAACCTTCAGCAAAACAAAATATAAGCAAATTGTTTTTTAAATCAGAAAATAAATATTTAATACCTAAGAAAGAATCTTGTCCCAGTAGTTGTAGTAATAAAAAGACTTACCAAAACATCTTTTACATACTAAATCAAGTATTTCCCGAAATCGGTTTGTCATTGGTGGTAGAGGTTTTAGATCAATTTTCCTGAAATCCTCTGGGCAATCATTCTTTGAATGGCCATCCTTTTTGCAGATGCTGCATACTATCGTTGGTGGCTATACAAAGATTAAAAAAAAAATCTAATAATCTAATACACCTTTGAGGGACTTCATCATTTAGAAAGTGGATCCAAAAAGAATCTTTAATGTAATTCAGTTCTGGTAACCTGTGCTTTCAGGAAGTAATTTAAAAAAAAAAACATGTTGTTAAAATGCAGTATTAGATATCAAAAACTTTTCTGAGTCAACTACTTTTTCTTCCCCATTAAAATTATATCAAGGATTAAATTTACCTGAAAATGGAAGATGCAGAAAACACCAGGAGGTGCAGAAGGTATGGGTTAACTCAAACAGCTCCCAAAGGAAAATATATGCATTATGTTTTTAACTTACTGAGATCTAACAAAGTAGGTTATAAAGAAACTTTAAGTTGCACCTTTCATTTTACTCCAAACATTTTCTATCTTCTGAATCAACTGATCACAGAACTCTCACTTAGGTGGTTCAATTTATTACATTAGCACTTCAAGAGACCAAACTGCAGACTGAACACTAAAAATAAATTAGCTTCATACAAAGAATAACTTATTCGATAGCCACAAAATAAAATTCAAATCCTATACAGCCATTTTAAATGTATTTCAATGGACATCAAATAGTGGATAAAACACAAAAATTTAAGCCAACTTGAAGAAACAAACAGATATGGTTAAGAAATACCAATACTCTTTTCTTTATTGTAATATGCCTAGATGCTAGAGTTAGTGTCTTTCTCCAGTGTTAGCCTGGACATTTATATAGCCAAAAACTCTGAAACAAATTATATGAGGAAAGCTCTCTTCTTAAGAATGATACACTGTAGGTTAATTAACAGTACTACAAGAATCTTTATCAGCTTTTCAAAGCTTTTTTTAAAAAATGACATATTTAGGCAGGAAACTATTTTTTTTTTATTTTAATTAAAAAAATTTTTTTTTAAGACGGAGTTTCACCATGTTAGTCAGGCAGGTCTTGAACTCCTGACCTCAGGTGATCCAGCTGCCTTGGCCTCCAAAGTGCTTGGATTACAGGCGTGAGCCACCATGCCCAGCCAGGAAACTCTTTAATAGTAAAAATGAAAACTGGAGAAACAGTACTTACCTTAAGTTTCCAGGAAAAAAAGTATAAAGCATAAGACATGTACATTAAAGTTACATAATTAAGTTTTTCTAAAAATCTGCCATTGATTTGATGCTTTCAATAGTCCATGTACCCTAAATAATGCAACCTAGATAAGATGCGACAGATGTATACTTACACAGAATGAAGAAATACTGCTTATTGTGAGGAGGAAATGGGGAGGTGTTGGTCAAAGGGTACACGGTTTCTTTTATGCAAAATAAATAAGCTCTGGAGATCTCTACAAAGTAGGGCCTAAGATTAATAATACTGTATTACATTCTTCAATTTGCTAATGGCATATATCTTAGGTTCTCACACCACAAAAGGAAAACAAAAGGAGGGTACTTTCCGAGTTGATAAATAGGTTTGTGGCACTGATAGTGATAATAATACATATACTTATGTTCAAACACATCTAGTTGTAGACACTGAATATTTATAGCTTTTTAAATGCTAATCATACCTTAATAAAGCAGATTTTTAAAAAATAGGCAATACTATTTAGTAATTAGGTTAAATATCTTAAAGCTTGTCAGTAATTACTGATAAAACAATAAGCCTGGATAAGGCTAAATGACTTTCCAGTTTATTTTTTTAATGCTCCACTTGGCTTATGCATAATCTGTATAATCATTTTTCATGTGGATAATGATAATGATATTTCAGTTATGTGCAATGCACTTGAAGTAATGTGATTCAGCTAAAACTTTGTTTTATTCACAAAGCAGTTACCGCTTACTTTCTATTCAATGGTTTGTTTCCTATGATTTTAAATGATTTCCTTTATGAGTTAAAGTTTAGACTATCTGGCTGGGTGCAGTAGCTCACACCTACAATTCCAGCAATTTGGGAGGCCATGGCAGGCGCATAACTTGAGCTCATGAATTTGAGACCAGCTTGGGCAACATGGTGAAACCCCGTCTCTACAAAAAATACAAAAATTAGCCAGACATGGTGGTGTGCACCTGTAGTCCCAGCTACTCAGGAAGCTGAGGTGGGAGGATGACTTGAGCCCAGGAGGCGGATGTTGCAGTGGGCTGAGATTGCACCACTGCACTTCGGCCTCGGCAACAAAGCCAGACCTTGTCTCAAAAAAAAAAAAAATGTAAGTTCATACTATCTTACTTCAAAAGTAGAAAAGTTAGTACTGGCCAGGGGTGGTGGTTCACACCTGTAATCCCAGCACTTTGGGTGGCCGAATCACCCGAAGGTCAGGAGTTCGAGACCAGCCTGGGCAACATGGTGACACCCCGTCTCTACTAAAAATACAAAAATTAGCTGGGCATGGTGGCATGTACCTGTAATCCCACTACTCGGGAGGCTGAGGCAGGAGAATCACTTGAACATGGGAGGTGGAGGCTGCTGTGAGCCGAGATTATGCTATTGCACTCTAGCCTGGGCAGCAAGAGCAAAACTCCATCTCAAAAAAAAAAAAAAAAAAGAAAAGATAAGAAAAGTCAGGACTCCTGTAAGTCATACAGGATAAGCCAAAATCCAGAGGCTCAGTAGCAGAAACAGAATCTTTATTTTTTTGGTTCCTAATCTTAGTTTCCCTCAGCTACCTTTAGTATACTTTTATTTCCCCCCTCTAAAAATATCTTTAAAGCAGAATATTATTAGAATTTACAAACCTTGTTTGTTTGTTTTTTTAGAAGAAAAAATTTCATGTATAAAAATAAGCTTGAGGCCGGGCACAGTGACTCACGCCTGTAGTCGCAGGACTTTGGGAGGCCAAGGCAGGCCAATCACAAGGTCAGGAGATCAAAACCAACCTGGCTAACATGGTGAAACCCCGTCTCTACTAAAATACAAAAAGTTAGTCAGGCATGGTGGCACACGCCTGTAGTCCCAGCTACTCGGGAGGCTGAGGCAGGAGAATCACTTGAACCCGGGAGGTGGAAACAGAGGGAAACTCTGTCTCCCTAAAAACAAAAAACAAAAAAAAAACCCTTGAATGTGGCTTTTGTTGAAGGTAAAAAAAAAAAAAAAAAAATACAAAATAAGCAACATTTAAAATGTATGCTTCCTTCGCTAAGATCCTCATGAAATATCAGATGAATCCTTTCATATGTGCAGAAGTAAAGGAAACCAACTGGTAATAGAATGCTGAAATCTCAAGGCTTCCTATACATTATTTAAAGGCAACTATACGAAAAACACAAAAGGTAAAATACATATCAAAATATCATTCCAAAACAACAGTCACCACTATATAAGCTATTTTTACATTTCTAAATCTAAAAAAAAAATACATATTCATACAACAACCACAAAACCTTATAGAGTGTTAACAAACTGTATCCTACCTTGCCAGAGGTTAAAATAAATTTATCAAACACATAATATAATTCCTGGGTGGAGAGGTTATCGTCATCATTAAGGTCAGAAGCATCTTCTGTAGCTTTGCAGTTGCAAGAGGTAGCAGGTATGTCGGTGCACACACTCTGATGTGAACTCTCTGTTTCTAAATTTGACCTGCAGTCTGTTCCAGTAGATTTATCTGGGTCAGGGGACTTAGACAAATGAATGCAATTACATTGGTTGAGCTCTGTTTTTAAACAAGTTTCTGAAGGCGCTAAATGATCTTGTTTTTTAACTGATTTTGGCTCTAATTCACTGCTTTTGCTGGCAGAAAGAGATGAAGATTCCTGTTCATGGTCAGCAAAATCTAGTTCATTTACCAACAAATTGTTGTTGTCAATAATACATCTCTGTGATGTACATTCCATTTCATCATATTTAACAGGTTGCTCTCTTTCTGCATTTTTTTTTTCTGTGCTTTCCCCAAGCAGAATGCAACCATTGGTTGCCACGTTGTTAGACTTAACTGGTTTCTTACTGCTTATTTTCCCCTTCTCTCTTTTCTTGAAGTCCACTGTAGACTTATTTCCACCCTTCCTCTGAGGACAGGCAAAATACCGATAAGCTGCCCTAAATCTCTCCACAACATATTCGTAAACCAGCTGGCTGTTTAAGCTCCGTGCAACATTCCTCTTGACTGAAAATGGATCTAGCAAAAGAGAAAATGGTAAATAGCCAAGTATCTACTAACAAACTACATTTCCAAGCTCATAGAAGTAGATCTTAACTGACGCCATGTACGCTGAATATATTTTCCCAAGGGGTTTTTTCTAAGCTAGGGTCCCAAAGAAAGTTCCTGAAAATGGGGGAAATATAATTGCAACATTTTTTCCTTTCTTTCTCTCATACAATAAAAAACCAAAAGGAAAAAGAAACCAGACTAATAATAAGGTAACTAATAAGGGGATGGCTGAGAAGGCCAATTCGTTAATTATACAGTTTCAATGCTGACAAAATTTTCAAGCTCCAGGACCCATTAATAATTTTCACCTCTTGGTATAGTATTTTTTTTCTTTTGAGATAGTCTCGCTCTGTCCCCGAAGTTGGAGTGCAGTGGTGCGAACTCGGCTCACTGCAACCTCCACCTCTCAGATTCAAGTGATTTTCCTGTCTGAACTTCCCAAATAGCTGTGACTACAGGCACACGCCACCACACCCAGCTAATTTTTGTATTTTTAGTAGAGGCAGGGTTTCACCATGTTGGCTAGACTGGTCTTGAACTCCTGACCTCAGGTGATCCGCCTGCTTCAGCCTCCCAAAGTGCTGGGATTACAGGTGCTCACACTGTGCTCAGCACATAGTGCTCTTTAATATAGTTTATGTTCTTTGCAACTTAAACAAGTAAACAAACATAAAACTTTCAAGACTTCAACTTGAAAACAAACTGGTTTTTAGATTTAACTTTAGTGAGATAAAAAAGTAAATGAAAGTGGAAGAGAGAAAAGAACAAAAAAGTAAAAGAAAGAGACCAAAAAAAATAAACAAAAATTTTAATTTTGATCCAGTCAAAAATGACTACCCTACAAAGTCTTGCAACAACAGCATCCTCATTATTAATAACATAACAAGTTTCTGAAAATACCTATAAACCTTAAATATAGGTAAGCCCCAGGAAAAAAGAATAGTACCACCAAAAAAAAAAAAAAATATGCTCTCTACTACTGAAAATCTTTTGGTATTAAGAGGCTAGGCTTCAAAAACTGTTAAAGTTGGGGTGTCTATTACTTTTTGCTGCTATTTAAATCCATAGTCTTTAACAAGCTTTTTCTGGTTTCTTCCTCACTTCCCAAAGAAAATGAAAAACGGGGGGGAAAGAAACAAAAAAAAATAGATAAATTATGGCTGGAAGACTTCAGAGCTCCTTTATTTATATCTAAGAGAGTACAAGTTGGGGTATCTATTACTTTTTGCTGCTATTTAAATCCATAGTCTTTAACAAGCTTTTTCTGGTTTCTTCCTCACTTCCCAATAAAATGAAAAAGGGGGGAAAAAGAAACAAAAAAAAAATAGATAAATTATGGCTGAAAGACTTCAGAGCTCCTTTATTTATTATATCTAAGAGAGTGCAAAATGTGTGTAAATGTTTGCATGTATATTTCAGAATATTTCTGGGTTGAACTCCCAGTGGAGAAGGCCAGCAGGAGTGAGGGAAGTGAATAATGTGTAGGCTCAACAGACCAAAATGGACATAAATTCAATTTCTTACCTATAAAAGGCAAGTGAAATGCTGTGAAATTGAAATTTTTGATTAAGAATTGAGGAGCCACTCTATTTAATTTTCTGTATCTCCAAAGATCTTAATGGTCTTGGGATCTTATATGAAGCTTTGTCAACATCAATTTTTATTTTTCCCCTTTAGCTCTAAGCCACATTTATTAGGTGAGGTACTTTAGAAGACAATGAAAACTTTCTCATAATCTTATGGCACAAATTTATTCAAAAAGATCTTACAGTATTCATAACTTACATTTTTCTCTATGTTTATAAGTTTGCATAAGTAAAAAATAAAATGTTCAAAATTTTAAAATGCTAATTACTGACCTTAACCATATATAAGCAAAAACCTTCAAATAAATACCAATTCTATAAAATTATAATAGACTTGACAAAGAATCTAAATAAATAATGGGGGCTGTGCGTGGTGGCTCATGCCTAAAATCCCAGCACTTTGGGAGGCCAATGCGGAGGATCACTTGAGGCCAAGAGTTCTAGACCAGCCTGGGCAATGCAGTGAGACCCCATCCCCACAAAAAATTAAAAAAAAATAGCCAGGCATAACAACAAAAAAGCCTATAGTCCTAGCTACTCAAAAGACTGAGATAGGAGAATCCTTTGAGCCCAGGAGTTTGAGGTTGCAGTGAGCCATGATCCTACCACTGTACTCTTGCCTGGGCAACAGAGCGAGACCCTGTCTCCAAAAAAGTTAAAAATGAAAAACGACAATCTAGTGACAGTACTATAAAGCCAAAGGATTATTTATAACACTGAATTAGATAATGAGTGGCACACAAAAAATAATCTCCAAATGAAATACAACACTTCATCTCACCTTCAATGGCTATTCGCCTTTTAGGCCAGTTTTTATTTTCTCTTGTTAAAATATCTCGTATCCGTACACATATGACATATTCCTCCAAAGCAAATTCCAGTGTGTAAAATTTTAGCAGCTCTAACCATAACTGTCCCAAGGATACCTGATTTGGTGTTTCCAATGTTAAAGGAGACTGGAAAAGAAAAAATACTTTTCATTTAAGCTTAACAAAGCTATAAAATCAAATTTTCAGTTAGAGAAGACCCTGGAGATCATGTTTTCAAAAACTGAGGCATGAAGGAGTAATGTGCCAAAAACAATCAGTCTGAAGCAAAGCTGGAAACAAAGTCCCAGTTTACTGACTCCTAGGAATTCTGCATTCTTTCCTCTTAACCAGTGATTCTCAACCTTGGCTGCACATTAGAATCATGTGGGTAGTAGTAAAATACACTAACATCTGAATTCCACACCACCCCCACCTTCCATACTCCTCCCAAGATTCTCATTTAACTGACTAGGCTATTCAGCCTAGGCAAAGACATTTTTAAAGCTCCCTAAAGTAATTTTCATATGCAGCCAAGGCCGCAAACCACTGTATAACAACTACTACAACTCCTTTTTCCAATAATTACTTTTAAAATATAAGTAAACGCCCTAGCTTTCAAAAAAACTAATTCCTTCATTCGGCAAACATTTCTTTAGAACCTACTATGTCCCTGACATTATTGGAAATATAATGAAATATGAAAGTTCACACTTATACATAATGTTTACCATGCACCATTCACTCTTCTAAAAGCTGCACATATATGAATAATTAATTCTAACTATTCCATGAACTAGATACTATAGGGTGAGGATTTGACTCAAGACAACCTGCCTGCTGGGTCTATGCTGTGAATCGCTATAATATACTGCCATTTAAATAAGGGAAGGCCCTACTTCATAGACTATTAGGAGGGGGAGAGACAGTTTAACAATTACAGTAAAGGATAAATGCTAAGATGGGCCTTTAAATCACGGGGATCATAACAGAAGAGGTAACACCTGAATTCCAAAGATTAGCTAGATGAAACCTGGCTGAAAGTAACCACTAGGCTGCATAAACACATGAAATAGTCATTCTCACATTCAATTCTATAACAATTTACTGAGTGCCTACTATGTGCAAGACAGTGTTCTAGGCACTTGGGATATGTCTTTGGGGGGAAAAAAACCCAAAGATCCTTGCCTTTATGGAGCTTACTTTCTATGGAAAGACAATAAACATATTTAATAAGTAAATTACACAGTAACTTAAAAGAAGATATGTACTATAGAAAAAAAAAGTTGAGTACACTAAAAGGGGTGGGAGTGTGGAAGCAGGAGAAGGTTACAGTGTTTAATAGAGTGGTCAGGATAAGACTTATTGTTTAAGAAGAGGGAAAAGTGCTATAGGAATGGGAAACAGAGCAAACACACAAAGAATGAGACCAAGATAGAGTGAGACAAAGAGTAGAAGAGGAAAGCAAGGAGCTAGCCAGGAAAGACTGTTTGGCTTGTTATCTAACTGAAATGAGGAACAACTGAAGCATTTGAGGGTGGAGAGAGGAAAGGGCATGATCTGAGTTAAGTTTCAGAGGAACTATTCTGATTGTTAAGAACAAACTATAAGAGAAAAAGGTAGACACAGGGAAACCTGTTGGGAGGCTATAACAGCATTCCAGGCCAGAGATGATGGTGGCGAGGACCAGGATGGTAACAGTGGAGGTAACGAGGGGTAATCAAATTCAGATACATATTTAATAGAGATGACAGAACTTCCTGACAGACTTGATATGGGGTATAAAAAAGGGGTAGAGGGTGACTCCAAGGTTAACTGAAAGGAGCATACTTTCAGTTAACTGAGCAACTGAAAGGATGCCGTGCAACCAAGTAAGATAGAAAAACTAAGCGTGGAGCAAGTTTGAGGGTAGAATCAGGAATTCAGTTTAGACACATTACATTTAAGACATCTATTAGATATCTAAGCAGAAACAGTAAATGAGCAGTTGGTTCTACAATTATGGAAGTCAGGAGAAAGGTCTGGCTGGAGATTTAAATTTGAGAATGATCATCATATAGATAGTATTTAAAATCCACAGAATTAGATGAGATTACCAAGGGACTGTACATACGCAAGAAAAGGGGGATCATAAACTATAACACTCCAACTTTAAGAAATTAGAGAGGAAAAAAGAAAACAGCAAAAGAGACTGAGAAGGAATAACCAGCCGTGGGTCCAGTGTCCTCAAAGTCAAGTGAGTAAAATTTTCAGAGGGAAGTAATTAACTGGCGAATGTTACTAATAAATCAAAAACGACAGAAACTGAGAAATGACCATTGGATTTAGTAATGTGGAGGTTACTGACACTGATGATACAAGTTTTGACAAACTGATGGGGTGACATCAAAGCCTGATTAGTGTGAGTTAAGGGGCTAACAGAGAAATCAAAAATAGTAAATACAGACAATTCTTTAAGAAGTTTTACTGCAAAAGGGAGCAAAGGAATAGGTGGGAGGGGAAGTGATGTCAGATTGTTCTTATAGTGGGAGAAATAAGAGCATGTTTGGTTATGTAGGGAACAAAAAATTGGTAATTTATGAGGGATAATTGCTAGGGTGATGTTCTGGAAAAGACAAGAAGAGATGAGACTGAATATATAAGTGAAGAAAATGACTTAGATAAGAACATGGGAAGTTCTCAGTCAAGCAAGATCACTGGCTGACAGTATTAGTGGTCTGAGGAGACAGGATACGGTGGTCCAGGAAAATGGAAGAGTTGAATACAATAGGCAAGCATATCAGGAAACTACAAATAATTCAGTACAGTAGAACAATGATTTCAGAAATGTTCAAATTTCTGTAATAATGCATCTGTCCACTTAGAAGACTACAAGCTTCTGGAGGACATAATCCATGTCATCTCTGGTTCTCTAGCACTCAAGATAATGCCTGCCACATAGCAGAGGTCCTTAATAAATGAATGCTAAATAATCAAATAAGCAAAGCTACCCTTTCATAGAGCACAGCAGGGCCTTTATTTCTCCACCCAATCTGGCAACAACATTTCCATATGCTGAAGTCTGGTCAGAGCCCAACTCCTAAAGGAAATTTTCCTTGTCTAGATGAAAAATGACAGATTTATCTTGACATGATTCAAACAATACAAGTTTTCCAAAACAAGATATAAATTCATTAGAGAATCTTGGTATTAAAAAACTAAACCAGATCAACCCCTCACTTTATAGATGAGGAAAATGAGGCCAAGAGGCTTGCTCAAGGTCAGTCAATCTACAATTAAAATAGCTTCAATCGAAGGCATTACAAATTCTACAGATAGAAAAGCCAAAAACAAAAATAAAAAGGCTTACTTTGCCATGTTTTTCCTTCATGGCATTACTTTGGTTGTCTGTTTCTGTCTTCTTGGTATCATCTTTTGGTTGGTCTGCCTTAGCTTTGTTTTCCTCAGCAATTGAGTTTTTCTCAGTTGCACTACTTGAATTATACTCCCACTTCACAAACTTCTCTTCTACTATGCCCTTCAGCTGAAAGTCATCCATTCTTTTTGGGTCAAAGCCTTCAATCTATATAAAAAGGCATTCCAAATTGGTAGTGGAAAAATTATTTAAAAAAAAAAAAGATGGACAAACAGACAAACCAGAATCCCAGCTTAAAATGTTTGAGTAGAACTCTCTGCAAGAGCAAACTATATATATATGTACATATATATATATATACACACACACACACATGCATATATGTATCACAAACTCATGCTTACCCAACTTCCAAGTAAGCAAGGAAGAAGAGGGGGTTTTCTCTGTTGTAGAAAAAACATCACCATTAAAGCAAAACAGTAAGAAGGGATTCCACCATCAGTTTGGGAGTCAATGTAGCACAACTGCAAAATGAAGGGGAAAAAAGTACTACCATTTAGCTTTCTTAATTTTCATGATTAAAGTACCTTGTTTTTTCCTACCCTAATCACTGTAAAAAGTTCAAATGACAATGAAAAATATAAGGAATAACTTGAAATATCATCACTCTAAAATAATCATTAAAATGTTGTTGACCATTTTTTCATTCTTTTTTTAGTGCATACAAAGATATGTATTTTTGTTAAAAGAGTAATACTATATGTAGTTATTTTACTGTGGACACATTTTTAAAATATTTTCTCCTTATCGTGCCTCTACTTCTACTTCAATTAACAACCTCCTATGTATTCTTTCTAGGTCTTTTTCTATACTCATATATAAATACACATACATTTCTATTTCCTATATACATATAGGGAGAAGTTTAAGTTTTTCATCATTATTTTAATAGACATCTCTCTGTATATTACTCTCCTCCCTTAACAATATATCAAGAAAGCCCCTTTAAGTCAATTAGCAAAATCTAACATATTACTTTATTTTTGAGACACGGTCTTGCTCTGTAGCCTAGGCTGGAGTGCAAAGACATGATCACGACTCACTACAGCCTCAACCTCCCAGGCTCAAGTGATCCTTCCACTTAGCTGGGACCACAGGCATGCACCACCATGCTCAGCTAATTTTTTTATTTTGTAGACAAGGGGTTTCCCTATGTTGCCCAGGCTGGTCTGGAATCCTTGGGCTCAAATGATCTCCCCGCCTCACCCTCCCAAAGTGCTGGGTATTTATAGGCATGAGCCACCATGCCCAGCCAACACATTCTTTTAAATGCTTAAATTACAGTCCATGATATGGATGGTTACACAATAGTTCCCCCATTCAAGGACATTCATATTTTGTTTCCAGTTTTTGCCACTGTAAACAATGCTGTAGCATTTATCCTTATACATATTTCATAAGTACTGGTGCTTATTTCTATGAACTGTATTCCTAGGAATGTTTGTTAAATTAAAAGATGACTGATATATTTTAATCCTTAAATATACTGTAAGATTGTTTTTCCAAAATCACCACAAATATTTGTATTTTCCAGCAGCAACCTATCAGTGTACATACTCCTCTTCCAACACTAGGTATTATCACTTAAAAAACATTTTCAATGGGATGGGTGAAATGTAATATCTGATAGTTACTTTAATTTGCATGTCCTTAACCCTAAAGAGATTATGAAATCCGTATATGTTTAACCATTTGGGATTTATTCTTTTCAAAATTGCCTACTAAATATTTTGCCAGTTTTTCTACTTTCATGCAATACTTATCAATTTATAAGAGCTGTAATTATATATAACCCTTTATGTCTAATACATGCATTTGAAAGATGTTATTTTTCCCAATCTATTTTTCTTTTGATATTATTTATGATATATTTTACCATATAAATTTTTTAAATTTTTACTATGCTTTAATTTTTAAATATGCTTATTTCAAACAGCCCTCCATATCAATGCATTCTGCATCTGCAAATTCAATCAACTATGGATTGAAAATATTTTTTAGGCTAGACACGGTGGCTCACGCATGTAATCCAAACACTTTAGGCGGCAAAGCAGGTGGATCACTTAAGGTCAGGAGTTCGAGACCAGCCTGGCCAACATAGTGAAACCCTGTCTATACTAAAAATACAAAAATTAGGAACGATCCAAGATGGCCGATCGCTAACATCCCGGGATTGCAGCTCTCAGGGAAGGCGCAGAGAACTAGAAGACGCCACACTTTCAGACAAAGTCTGGTCGCTCACGGAGCAGAAGATCCCCCAGTGGTGGAAACACACGAGTCGCCAGCGCGACTCTCGTGGTCGGCGCAGCAGTTCCGCCGGCACCTCGAGGCGGCAGCGCTCACGCAGAGTAAACGGGACAGGTTCCCCTTCTGACCGAGGTTTGGAGCCCTGGGAAGGCAGAGTCGCCTACTACGGAAACAAGAAGGAAGCCAGGCAGGAGAATCCTGGGCAGAAAAGCACCATCAGTTTTAACGCTGCTGCTCTGGCCCTGGGAACTAACAACCTGGACGTCCACTCAAGAGACCTAATCTGAAAGTTGGTAATTTCAAAGACGACAGGAGGATAAATTTACAATGACGGGAAGAAACCAGCGTAAAAAAGCTGAGAATACTCAAAGTCAGAACGCCTCTCCCCCTAAAGATGATCACAGTTCCACATCAACAATGGAACAAGGCTTGATGGAGAACGAGCGCCTCCTGATGACAGAATCACTCTTCAAGGAATGGATAATAACAAACTTCGGTGAGTTAAAAGAACACGTTGTAGCCCAACGTAAAGAAACTAGGAACTTTGAAAAAAGGTTTGATGAAATCCTATTGAGAATAGACAACTTAGAGAGGAGTATGAGTGAATTAATGGAACTGAAGAATACAATACAGGAACTCCGAGAAGTATGCACAGGTTTAAACACTCGAATTGTTCAAGCAGAAGAAGGGATATCAGAGGTCAAAGTCCAACTTAATGAAATAAAACGTGAAGAAAAGATTAGAGAAAAAAGGATAAAAAGGAATGAGCAAAGTCTCCAAGAAATGTGGGACTATGTGAAAAGACCAAATTTACGTTTGATAGGTGTACCTGAATGCGACGGAGAGAATGAATCCAAGCTGGAAAATACCCTTCAGGATATTATTCAGGAAAATTTTCCTAAACTAGCAAAGCAGGTCAACATTCAACCCCAGGTAATACAGAGACCACCACAAAGATATTCCTCAAGAAGAGCAACCCCAAGGCACATAATCGTTAGATTCACCAGGGTTGAAACGAAGGAGAGGATACTAAGGGCAGCCAGAGAGAAAGGTCAGATTACCCACAAAGGCAAGCCTATCAGACTTACAGCAGATCTCTCAGCAGAAACTCTACAAGCCAGAAGAGAGTGGGGGCCAATATTCAACATCCTCAAAGAACAGAACCTTCAGCCCAGAATTTCATATCCAGCCAAACTAAGCTTCACAACCGAAGGAAAAATAAAATCTTTTATGAACAAGCAAGAACTCAGAGATTTTATTACCACCAGGCCTGCTTTACAAGAGCTTCTGAAAGAAGCATTACACACAGAAAGAAACAACCAGTATTAGCCTTTCTAAAAATACACCAAAAAGTAAAGAGCACCAACATAAAGAAGAATTTACACCAACGAATGGATAAAACAGCCAGTCAACATCAAATGGCAGTAACCCTAAATTTAAATTGACTGAATTCCCAATCAAAAGACACAGCCAAAACCCAACGGCATGTTACATCCAGACCTGTTTCACATGCAAGGATATACAAAGACTCAAAACAAAGGGATGGAGAAATATTTACCAACCAAATGGAGAGCAAAAATAAATAATAAATAAATAAAAAGCAGGAGTTGCAATTCTTGTATCGGATAAAATAGATTTTAAAGCAACAAAGATATAGTGGTAAAAGGATCAATGCAACAACAAGAGCTAACGATCCTAACACCCAGATAGGAGACATAGATTCAATGAGACAGAAAATTAATAAGGATATCAAGGACTCGAACTCAGATCCAGAACAAGTAAACTTAATAAATATTTATAGAGCTCTCCACTTCAAATACACAAAATATACATTCTTGTCAATACCACATCACACCTACCCATTAGTTTAAATGAAACATTGATTGGCCATTATTAATACCCAATTTTTTTCAAAATAAAGCAATATTTCCATTTACTCTCCCTCTTTCTTCCTCTCCTTTACTTATTTTTTTTTTTTTCTTTCCTTCTCTCAAAAAAAAGAAATCAACTTGTAAACCTCTAGATCCAGGTCGGCAATGTCTCTTTCATTGCTTGATTTCCTTTCTTCCCTTCCCTCCCTCCCTCCCTCCCTCCCTCCCTGCTTCCTCCCTTCCTTCCTTCCTTCATCCCTTCCTTCCTCCCTACCGTCCTTATTCCCTTCCTTTCTGCCTTCCCCCCCCCAAAAAAAATAAATAAAAATTAAAAAAATACAAAAATTAGCCATGCACAGTGGAAGGCACCTGTAATCTCAGCTACTTGGGAGGCCAAGGCAGGAGAATCACTTGAACCTGGGAGGTGGAGGTTGCAGTGAGCTGAGATCCTGCCAATGCACTGCAGCCTGGGTGACAGTGAGACCCCATCTATATTTATATATAGCAAGGTGTGGTGATGCACACATATCACCTGCAACTGATGTAGTCCCAGCTAGCTACATATACTATAGAGGCTGAGGCAAAGGATTGCTTGAGCCCAGGAGTTTGAGTCCACCCTGGACAACATAGCAAGCCCTCCATCTCTAAAAATATATAATTTAAAAATTTGTAAAAGGCCAGGTGCAAAGGCCCCATCTCTTTAAAACAAAACAAAACAAAAAAATGCCAGGTATGGTGACACACACTAGTAGTCCCAGCTACTCAGGAAATTGAGGCGGGAGGATCCTTTGAACCCAGGTTACAGTGAGCTATGATGGTGCCACCATACTCCAGCCTGGGCAACAGAGTTGAGACTCTCTGAAAAAAATTAAAATTTTACATTTAAAAAATTTAAAATAGCAATATAATAAAAAATGCAAATTAAAAAACAATACAGTATAACAACTATTTACAGAGCATTTATATTGTAGTAGATATTATAAGCAATCTAGTGATGATTTAAAGTATTTTGGAGTCTATATGAAGGTTAGATACAAATAACACACAATTTGTATAAGGGACTTGAGCATCCTCAAATTTTAGTACCCACGGGGGTCTTGGAACTAATCCCCCTATGGATACTGAGGATAACTACACAGCTTCTAGGTATCCTATCATAGTAAAAAGCTTCCCATATCATTATTTATATACACATAATCTAACATTTTTCTTCTAAAATTTTAAATTTTCATTAAAGTAAAATTTATTTTTGCATTTAGTGTACTAAGAGTCCAACATTATGTTCTTCCAGTAAGATACAGTTGTGAAAGCACTATTCAATAAAATCTCCTATACACTAGACCATTTAAGCATTCTATTCTGTTCCACAGATCTATTTTTCTATTCCTATGCCAATGGCATACTCTTGATTAAAGCAATTTTACAGCTACTCTAGTCTTCCTTTTTGCCCCTCCTTGAGTTCATTCCTACTTTGAAAGCTTTGGACTAGCTGCCCCTTGCTTTTCCACCAGATTTTCATGTTGCTAGCTATTACCTGTCTGGGCTTAAATATCATTTCTTCAAAGTCTTTTCCTGACCATTCAGAGTAATGTCATTCATTCTATCATTTCATTTTAGAGTTTAGTACTAAACTCTAGCAGATATTATTATTTATATATTTCTTTACTGTCTGACTCTTCTAGAAGTATGTGTGCATCATGAAAGCAGGACTCTATATCCTATTAGATGTTCCCAGCCTCTAGAACAGTATCTGAAACACAGAACACATTTAGCAAATGTTTGCTGAATGGATAGATTTGTTCAGATTTTGCTTTCATCTTTCAATAATATAATTTATTCTTATATGTAACTTATTAAATCTCTTCCTTAGTGTTTTACAATTTATGTTGCTGTCATGAAGGTAAATATTTTTCCCCATTTCCATTCTAAGAGGTTATTTTTATGACAGAGAATTGGCCACTGACTTGTGTATATTTATCTTGTATTTAGTTATCCTACTAAATTCTCTTATTAATTCCAGTAGTCTTTTACTAGGGTGTTCTAGGTATACAATCATATTATTAGCACAAAGAGATAATTTTATCATTTTTCCAATATTTACATTCAATTATTTCATTTTCTAATTGCATTTCCTAAAATACCAAAACAATATACAACATCAGTGGTGAATATCTCTACAATATTCTTCATCTTAACATATATGGCTGAAATGATGTTTCTTATTGTTTTGGCTTTGTTTTTTGTGTTTTTTAATAAATGGTTTTTATAACTAACTTTCATTTCTAGTTGACGTAAAAGTTTCTGTTAGGGAGAACATGCCCTTTCAGCATCTAGGATTTTTTTTTCTGCTTCATTTGTTAATATAACAAATTATGTGAAGAGACTTCCTATATTAAACCATTCTTACAATCTTTAAGTAAATCATATATAATCATGGCATTTTAACCTTTGATACCTGGATATATTTCATTTGCTTATATTTCATTTACAGTGTAGCATCTATGTAAGATTGATCTATGCTGGATTGGCTGGATTGGTTTTTAAACTGTTGTTTATTTTCTTCTGTAGACAATGAAGATTTCGGATAATAATAATATAATATGGAGTAATTATACTGTAGTATAATGTCTTGGTACATTTAAGATTACAACTCAAAATAAAAGATGACTAAAAACACTTGTCAAAAGGAGTCTGAAACATTTTACTAGAATAAACTATCACTTATCCAAAATATTAAGATAAGGGTAAACTGCCTAATGAATAAGTTGAGTTAAACAAAAATTCCTTTGCAACTATAAAGAGCTGTCAATATATTCTGCTAACATTACCAGACATCTAACAGATGAACAAGATTAAGGCAGTTTAAGAGAGAGCTCTTAAAACCAGTTTTAGATGTCAAATACTGCTAAAATGCAATTCTTATATTAACTACACAAAAAGTGACTCTAAGTCAGGTAATTTGACTAATAATAATGTACTGATGATGAGGCTACAGAGTTCTGCCACCTAGAGTTACGAAGCTTTATCTAGAAAACTATTTCCTATTACTAAAATGCAAAGACTAACTGCTTAAGAGAGAGCCAGAGAATCATCAACTGCAATCTCATGGTATCAGTTATAAGAATAAATTATATACTAGAATTGTCCTAAACCCCAAATCATGGAAAAATATGGAGAAATGTGTGCTTAACTAGATAACGTATGATATGGCTTAAAACTTCAAGAAAAACAAACCTATTTTTAAAAATCTTCAGAAGAAAAAGATACTAGGAACTATTTCTAAGTTTCTTATTAAAAATTAAGAAAATCAATACCATGAAAAAACTTTCTTTGCAACTAAAACAAATGACAAAAATGAGACACGTTATTCTGTTGGAAACAGAAAGGAACCACTCTACAATCAGTTTTGTAATATACATTTCAGTGTCCCTTGATTGGCATATTTAGAATCCATATGGATCAAGTACTATACACTATGAGCAACCTTTTCCAAGAGTCACTTTAGGAAACAATGTTTATAGGCCACATTTTTTTCCAAAATAAAAATAATGTATTTGAATATCATTTATAATCTTCTAACACAGACTATTTATTTTATTGAATAGAATGTCTGGGAGAAAATTGACATGACTTTATGACCCCCTAAAAAATTAGAGCTTAATTTAAAAGCACCAACAAAGAAGCAGCTGTGTATTCCATTATCCTTTATATTTCTGTAGTATTTTTAGAGCTTGAAGTGTATTCTTGTGAATTATCTAATAATATTACCAAAATATTCTCTCCAGGAGAAAAAAATTGAAACTCAGATAGGTGATGTACCTTGCTCGAAGACTTAGCAAAGCTGGATGCTGTGTCTCACACCTGTAATCCCAGCGCTTTGGGAGGCCAAGGTGGGAGGATCGTTTGAGCCCTGGAGTTGAAGACCAGCCTGAGCAACAATATGAGGCCCCACCTCTACAAAAAACATTTAAAAATTAGCCAGGCAAGGTGGCACATGCCTGTGGTCCCAGGTACTTAGGAAGGCTGTAGCGAGAGGACCACTTGAACCTGGGAGGTTGAGGCTACTGTGAGCCATGATCGCATCACTGCACTCCAGCCTGGATGTCAGAGACCAAAAGCAAAACACTTAGCAAAAAAACTAGAGCTGGAATTGGTTTACTCCATTTCATAGCACTGATTTCCTATCGTATGCTAAGCATACAGTATAAGATTAATGAGAGGAAGTAGTAACCCTCCCTGAACCCATTTTACTGCCTCCGCTCACTTCTATGGGTTAAAAATCTCCTTTCTGGCCAGGCACAGTGCCTCACACTCTAGGAGAATGAGGTGGGAGGACTGCTTGAGCCTAGAAGCTCAAAACCAGCATAGGCAACATCATGAGACCCCCATCTCTATTTACAAAACCAAACAAACTCCTTTCTGAAGAAATTAGGTCATTTATTCATCAAATATTTACTGAGTACCTACTATGTGATGACACAGTAAAATAAGTGGAAGTAGGGATCAGCAGTGAATAAATAAAACATTAAAATCCCTGCCCTCAAAGAGTTTACAATTTCACAGAATAGACTACAAACAAATTTATGTATGACAGGTGGTAATCAATGTGATCATAAACTTGACAAAAGTAAAAGAGTAAAGCATTCTAGATACCTAAGGTAAAAACATTCTAGATGATGGAAACAGCAAATAGAAAGGCCTTGAGTATACAGGCTTTCTGACTTCCGTACTCAGCCAGCTGGTGTTGCCCAAGCATGGGGGCAATTCTTTAAACAGAGTCGCAACAAAAAATTCCAAAGAGACTTCTCTATTTTTGCTATAAGTTATCACTCTAACACCATCCCCTTCATCAGTTTTCTTTATATACAATTAAGAATTTATTCATTACCAGTCTAGCAAGTGATGAATATTCTACTGATAGGGCAGGAACACACAAACAGAAAGCTAAAATCTCTTTCTGGTCATTTGGACTGATACTGCTAATTAACCACTCCTATCACCACACCAAAGAAATAAACACAGGGCAGCCACAGCCTTTAGAGGTATAAATTAATTCTAATTTAGGAAACCTCGAATAATCCTCAGTAGTTGCCCAATCAGAAACTGGTGCATGTTATCAATGATTTACAGGAAAGAGAATAGCATTCTTAGACACTAGAGGAAAAAATATGCCAATAAAAGAACCATAACATATATATCACATCTTAAAACCTTACAAGTTTTAGTAAAAGTGAAAGTTTCACTTATAATAAGAATGAAAACTTACAAGTTTCACTTATGAGAGTGAAAACTTGACCCTCATATGCTGATATGAAAGAGAACATTTCTATAGTATGTAAAAGGAGAATAAAACATGACATTAAAAATTCTAAAATATATCAATAAGTGTATGCCTATAAAACTTTATTTTTATGTCTATAAATTAGAACCTGCCACACCACTTTCTGTCTAGCACAGAAAACTATTTTGTCCCACATGTTATGATTAATGTTATATGTCAGTACAAGGAAAGGCCTAACTTTGAAGATTAAATATTTTGCCTTCTAAAAATATAAATAAATAAGTACTTTTCCTTTCTTCCACTTACCTTAGCCCAGTAGCGAAAGGCCAACACCAATGGAATAAAGACAGGTTCCATTTTGCCAAGAGCAGTAAGTAAATCAGTAGTGAGACATGCCATGTCATTTCCTGCACTCACTCTACAAAGTAAACCACTGTGAATAAGAAAGAAACAAATTTCATTGTATTAATACCTTTAAAAACAGAATACTTCAAATCCTGTGGCTACTCCTTCTAGTTACCATATTTTAATATAGTACCTTAAAAGTCCTAATAAAAACAAATGTTTGTAAAATTTTAGAGCTAACTAAAAACTACATGTCATTCCATTACTAGAGTTCCAAATTAATTAAAGAAATAAGTTTTTAATGTTCATCTGTACTTCAGAAATAAATTTCAACCCCACTTAGTATTTAAGGTCATAAGAAATTAATTTCAAAAGCAGCGTTATGAATTACCAAAATTGATATACATGAGAGAGAGGGCACTGATCTCTTCAATGTCGAATGGTACAAAGAAATTTCCTGGTTCATTCCTCTTGCTTTGTACATAAGAACAAAAAAGGAATACTGAACTGACTGGCTATACTTCTTGACTCTAGTTTTTCTTATTCAAACTTTCACAATTGTACTAATATGTTATCTTCAGAGTAAAGATCAGACAGGATTTGCAGATTAACCCACAAGTTATGCTTCTGTGTAAGTGAAAATAGCATCTACCTTAAATAATAAATCTGAGGTTGTCACTCAGAGGCAATTTAACGCAATGTGGCAAAAAAACAAAAGAAACACCACTAAATGTAATTTTGTCTCTATTCCAACTATAGTTTTCCCCTAAATGATGTAACTCTGGACAAACTGATTAACCACTCCAGGTCTCAATTTTCTAGTTTAGAAAATAAGAAATCTGAACTATATTGCGATAGACTCATCTAGCTTTGAATAAGAAAATACCTTGATCTTAATAAATAAGAAATACAAGTTAATAATCAATAAAAGAATATCATTTCTGAAAAAAAAAAAAAAAAAGAATATCATTTCTGTATTGTTTCCATGTCTCCCATGCTATTTTCAAATAGGATTTAGTTTTCTCTTTCAAAAGCACTTTGCTCTCTTAGTCTTATAGACATCTAACTAGAAAGGCAAGATCAGTCTTCAATTTAAGATTGATCTTGAGTTTGTTCAATTTAATTCAACTCATTCAACTTAAGTGAACTAAAAACTAAATTCAAATAGATTGTGAGATCCTTGAGAAGAGAGGCTTTTTTTTTTTTTGAGACAGAGTCTCGTTCTATGACCCAGGATGGAGTACAGTGGCACAATCACGGCTCACTGCAGCCTCAATCTTCCAGGCTCAGGCCATTCTCCCACCTCAGCCTCCTGAGTAGCTGGAACCACAGGCACACACACCCACTATGCCTGGTTATTTTCTGTAGAGACAAGGTCTCACTATGCTGCCCAGGCTGGTCTTGAATTCCTAAGTTTAAGTGACTCAAGAGAGACTATTTCTTTTTGATGTCTGTATCCCTAGAGCAAAGTAGTACTTGCCTATAACTAAATGTAATACTCTTGAGTAGGTGAATGATTTACAAAAAAAAATTAAAGTTCTGCCTAAAGTATGTTATTTTCAGCTGGTGTTCTATATATTTCTTGTTCACATGCATTTGGTAAACTTGCTATTTTTAGTGAAGAGAAACTAGCTTAGTCATACTCATCCAAGGAGAAATCTAAAACAAAAACTTTGTCTCTTAGAGATCATTCACTACAAATTTGGTTGTTGGGGTTTGTTTTGTTAAATATTTTTCTCTTCATTGTTACCTTTTTCGATCTCTGCACACCACAACAGGAACTTTAGCGTGAAAATCAGATTCCACATCTACATATAATACTAATAAGGAAAAAAAAAGTAAGCTAATGTCAATATCTCTAAATATTTGCTCTATGGTAAACATTAAGTAACAGTTTCCTTCTAAAAATCATGCTCATTGCTTCTATGGGAAAATCCACTCTTCTTATCATGAGCACCAACCCAAAAGAATCTCTTACCTCTCTTGGTGTCATTCACCGTATATCACAAACCACAGGTACAGTCCCAAATACTGCCCCAAAATTATAATCACCTTAAGAAGAAAGGTCTTAACATCCCTAAAAGTTTCAATATTTCCAAGCAGATAATCTAGTCAAAGTTGTTAAACCCATTACTCTTGAGAGCTAGTTCCATAGGAGCTGTGAAAGGGGGACCTATCATGTTTTGATAGTTTAGTTCTTTTTAATTATTGATGTAAATGCAACCTAACTCTGCTTGCCACAATTTCAACTAGTATATGAAGAGTTTGCCTAATCATATTAGTGGAAGGACTCATTCCACTAGTATATGAAGAGTTTGCTAATCAAAGCTGCTAAGACAGATAAAGCACTTTTGTAATGCTAAATGAAGGACATTTCTATCCTGAAATTTTTCTCTATACCTCCAAGGGTAAGCCCGTTGCCATTAATGTCTAATCTAAATAAAAACAGATAGATTAACATCACTTATAATTCAAAGAAAATGTCTCAGTAGTACTTGTTGTAACGATTAGTCAAAAAACACTTTGGCGCAGACCTATATGTCAGAAATTTCATTATGCAAAGTCAATATGACAATGAGTAAAATGCAAAAAGGTCAATTAGGGGTTTGGAACACAAATATATAAACAAATAAATCCTGTAGGTGACCTGTAAAAGGCACAATAAAAACATAAAGGAAGAAATAATCAATTTTACAATCAGACTGAGTTTAATAAGCCTACTTTGTATACTTAAGATGATCTATATGTATCCCCGGGTGGAAAAGGCATATATTAAATATTTGTGCTAGGATGATCCTACTTAGGAAGTCTGAAGAGGTAAAACCTATGTCTACCTCTTATCTGTAGTAAACTTTAAAGTTTTTGAGCAATTAGAAACAAGTCTTAATTAAGAAAGAAAACTGTATTAAAATACCTTTATATGATAAACTGTACCAAACTCATTCCTAGAAAACTACTTTCCCAAGACAATGGCCAACAGGAAACTGATATATAAGAGCTGACTGTGTAGACAGAAAGATTAAAAGAAATTTAGAATTCAATTAAAGCCAATGAGAGAGTACGGCTTTAAAAAAAAAAAAAAAAAAAAAACCCTTTCTCTTCTAAGCCAAATTGCAAATATTTTTGCCAGATACTTCTGACTCATATAATTTAAGGTAATAATAACAATCACAACAGCAAAAATATAATAAGTTAGTATATACCAGGCACTTTTCTAAACTATAGTTCAGTCTATCTCATTCTTACAACAACTTTCTCATCAAAAAGATATGATATAATATTGCCATTTTACAGATCAGAAAGCGAAAGTATTAACACAAATAATCTGTCAAAGGACATACAACCAGTAAGTGGCAGAATTAAAATCTGAGCCCAGGAAGTCTGGCTTCAGATCCCAACCTTAATCTTAAGCATTTACTTTATAACAAGAAAAATAGTAAGTAAAAACCAGGAAAATTTAGTAGACTGTAGTATATGACCTGGAACCTGGTTCAAGAATCTTGTATTTTTAAAAAAATTTTACCTATATGAATTGATGTGTTTACAAAGGCAATCCAGACAGATAAAGCACTTTTGTAATACAATGACTCAACTATGCCAGCAATTTAGTTTTAACTTGGATAGCCATATATAAACAACATACATTTCTAAATGCAGCTTTAAGAAAGGCAAATTAAAAAAAAAAAAAGGAAAAAGAACTCACCATTTTTCTTTAAGATCCCAAGTACTTTTATCAGAAGATCTGGATGATTCATCTAAAACAGTTTCAAATTAAATCAATATACTAATTTCAAAGTTCGGACAGCAGAAGATTAGGAAAAACTCAATTTCGTTAAAGAATAACATTTAAGGCCGGGTGCAGGGCTCACGCCTGTAATCCCAGCACTTTGGGAGGCTGAGGCGGGTAGATCATGAGGTCAAGCGATTGAGACCATCCTAGCCAACATGGTGAAAACCCATCTCTACCAAAAATACAAAAATTAGCCGGGCCTGGTGGCGCGCACCTATAATCCCAGCTACTCAGTAGGCTGAGACAGGACAATCACTTGAACCCAGGAGATGGAGGTTGCAGTAAGCCAAGATCAGGCCACTGCACTCCAGCCTGGGCGACAGAGCAAGACTCTGTCTCAAAAATAAAAAAAATAATAACATTTAAAAATAATCATGCTCTGTGTTTTAAATAATGAAAACAGAATAATGGTTTGGTTTTTTTGTGGGGTGATGAGGTTTCTCTGGGATTGCACAGGCCGCGGTGTAGTGGCATGACCATAGCTCACTACAGCATAAACTTCTGGGCTCAAGGAATCCTCCTGCCTCAGCATCCTAAGTACTTAGGACTACAGGTGTGTGCCACCACACCCAGCCAGCCAATACCTTTTTTTTTTTTTTTTTTTTGTAGAGAAAGGATCTCACTATACTGCCCAGGCTGGTTTTGAACTTCTCACAGCAAGCATTCCCCCTATCTCTGCCTACCAAAGCACAGGAATTATAGGCATGAGCCACCTTGTCCAGACATGTTTTACTTTTATGTGAACAAATCTCATTCACAAAAGTAGAATCTAATAAATGATGTAGCACTATTATTCCAGCAATACTCCTAGAATTAATGGTTTCTTAAAGCAAGAAAAGGTTCTGGAATTTCCCATCAAAACAAAAAAGAAATGAGTTTACCACATGACTGTGAAAAATAAATTGTTGAGATAAAAATTTAAAGGGATATAGACAACTGGCAGCTTAGTCAAAAGGCTTAGAGTAAAACATTATTTTATGCAATAAGCTTGTCAAATGTTAAACGTGTTTTTTTGCTATTTAAGAGTACTCAAGTCTGGCATGGTGGCTCACACCAATAATCCCAGCACTCTGGGAGGCCAAGGCAGGCAGATGAGCTGAGGTCAGGAGTTCAAGACCAGCCAGATCAACATGGCAAAAACTCGTCTCTACCAAAACTACAAGTTAACCAGACATGTTGGCACGAGCCTGTAATCTCAGCTATTTGGGAGGCTGAGACAGTGAACTCAGGAGGTGGATGTTGCAGTGAGCTGAGATCGAACCACTGCACTCTAGCCTGGGCGACAGAGTGAAGCTCTGTCTCAAAAAAAAAAAAACAACAAACAACAAAAGTATTTAATAACCAGACATTAATTACAAAGTAAATGTATCAGACTAAAAACACCAAATTTTCACCCAAATCAAACCTCCCTGAACACGAACATATTATTCAATTCAATTTAAAACATAAAATATTGACATATTTTACAAGATATGTCAATAAAGAATGTCAGCAGTGATAAACAACATTGTTCTAATACAGATAACAATATTAGAACAACATCAATATTGTTCTAATGACTCTAGGTACTACTTATTAAAAGTACCCATATGTACCAGATACTATATTAAAACACCTGACATAAATTAATATTATCTCATTTTATATAACAATTATTATTCCTGTTTTGGAAATGGGAAAACTGAAGCTCAAAAAGTTCAAGCAACTTGCTTATCACAGCCAAGATCTGAATGTAGGTATATGATTTCAAAACTCTTACCACTTTCTATACTGCTTACCAGAAGTAATAACTATTCAACACATTCAAATATAAGCATTTTTCCCTTTTTTTTCCCAACTTTCCTCTTCTGCTTCCTTTTGCCCTTGTCCCTTATTTCTTTTTTCCTGCCTAGGTCTGAAATCCAATAGTAATTTACAAAAGCGCTGTTTAGTCATGATGGTAACACTATACAAACCAGAATTTTATATTCCCCTATTCTTTCTCTACAAAGGTAATTCATAAAAATTACTAAATACTAGTAAAGAACCACACAGGAAAGATTCTTTTCTAATTACTTACCTTGGGAGGAAATTTTATATCTATATTAACATCACTACTTTTCAGAGCAAATTTAGTCAGAGACGAGCCATACAACCTAAGTGAACATTCTGGAATAAAGGAAAAACAAAGCATGAAATAGCATGCAAATATAAGAGATGCAAAAAAAACAGCAACAGAAAAATTTCACACACTTCAGATCTATGTCTTCCATTTCTAGTAAGACAATTATACAATAATGACACCGTTTCTAACTGATCTATAAAATAATAAAAATGGTTCCCAGTTATGGAGTGCAGGACCAGAGAAGGGAGAGAAAAACTACCCATAGAAGTTTAGTGTTTAAACAAAATTTTAGTAATAGTTCATTTAGAAACAGCTGAGAATGTGTTTAGCATTCAATATAGAACAGTAACTAACGTACTAACTTAGCTATGACTACTGTCACAAACTACGTTTATTTATTCTTAAATATTTATATAAGAGCACTTTGAATGGGGAAAGGATCATAAACATTCAATGCCAATGCTTTTATAAAATACAAAGTGAAGCCAAGTCAATTAATTCTGTAAACCTAAAACCCAAAACACTGTGGTTCTCAAGAGTTTATAGAAGAAAAACAAATAGTAGTAACACACTACTTACAGCTTTCGCAGACTATCAAACATGTTATTCCAAAAATCATAATAAAGAAATTTTAAAAGGGTCTCACTAGAGGTCAATCTGAAAATATTATAATTGGGCCAGATCAGGCAGATTTGGTTTCTTAGAAAGTTTAACTGCATCCTCAGTTGCGTATATAAAACTTTACTTTTCAAGTTCATAAAATGTCTGAAAGTCATTCAAGTAACTAAAACCATAAAAATTTCATTCCTTTTCTTATCATAGTAAATGATTTTTACACGTAACTTAAATAAGGATCTAATGTATTTTAGGTAGAAAGCCATATTATGATATAAATACTTTAAAAATTCCATTTTAAATTTCAATTTCATATTCTTTCTTATAAATCACAAAATGGATCTATATGAAAGTATTATTTATGAACTTTCCAAATCCCTTTGGTGGGAAGAAACAAGTCTTATATCAGATACATTAACTTTAACCCTATACTTATGCAAGAAAGACATGAGCTAAGCAAATACTCCATATATAATATCTAAAATAAATCTGACACTACCTTGTACCAAATAATAAGCTTTTTCTAAAGGCCCTGTTAAAAGTAAATTAATTTTTCCCCACCATAAGGCAACAGAAATTTAGTTCAGTGACTGTATGAAATGTTTATACTGAAAATAATGTTGACAAAATAGTCCATTCAGAAATCAGTGATACTGAAAAACTAAAATATTTAAGCACTAAGAAATCATTCTACATCTGGCATTTCTTTTTTTTTTTTTTTTTAAGACAGAGTCTTGCTCTGTCACCCAGGCTGGAGTGCAGTGGAGTGATCTCGGCTCACTGTAACCTCCACCTCCCAAGTTCAAGCGATTCTCCTGCCTCAGCCTCCCAAGTAGCTGGGATTACAGACACGCACCACCACGCCCAGCTAATTTTTGTATTTTTAGTAGAGATGGGATTTCACTGGTCTTGAACTCATAACCTTGTGATCCACCTACCTCAGCCTCCCAATGTGCTGGGATTAAAGGCGCTAGCCACCACGCCCAGCCTACATCTGGCATTTAAAAAATCTTTTTTCTTTAGTACAAAAGTGTTCTATGTCATAATTCTCAATTTCCTTGTGTGAAATATTTCCACCCAAAATTCATTCATAAGACAATAAAATGTATCTACTTTTAAGGAGAAAGGAGAAGGAAAACATTAAGAAACATACCCTAGTTCAAGAGGAGTAAAGGGAAGAGTTTTGTGATTTTCAAAATCAAATATGAAATGTATTTCTACCTGGTAAAAATGTCGTTATAACCTTTGACATTTCCTCCACAATTTCCTGACGAACCCTGAGATCATCATCTGTTATTCCATGTTCTTTTGCTAATTCAATGACTGCAACACTTAAAGCAGCCAGGTGGGTAGGGGAAGGAGGTGGCAGAGAACGAAGCTCACTTTCTTCTTGTTTTTCCTATTAATGTTATGATTCAAAACAATAAAAACAAAAAAAATTCCATTTTAATGTCCTTATATTTAGCAGGGAAAAACAGAAATAAATTAGCTCAACAAATATTCACCTTCCATCTACCGGATACCTACAATATAGAAGTGAACAAAAGAGACAGAGACCTCTGCCTTTGGGAAGCAGAATTTTAATAATGAGAGATACTGTATGGGGGGAAAAATACTACTAAATTTTTTAAAGTTTGTTCCACTGTATTAACTGCATAAATTGAGAAATGCTACATTAAAGCCAAGGCACCATAAGCATAATACTTACTTGATGATTTTGTTGCACCAAGGCAGACTGTCCTAGATGTAACAGAAAAGTCTTGAATCATATCTCATCAGCATATACAGTATCAGGTTAAATGGTCACAGGAAAACTACCTGTCTACTATTTATCAGTGATTTTTCTTCATGATTTTATCCAACACTATGCAAAATGTTCAAAGAAACCTCTATCCTGCTAAAAGTTTGAAAGCCAATTTAAATCTAGGAGCTAAAGAGAGACTTTGCTATATATATGCAATGACTTTTATAAATTAAGTTTTTGAGGGATTGTCCTGTTTTCCACAGTGTACATCATTGTACATCTTTACCAGCAATGCACAAGGGTTCCAGTTTCTCCACATTCACACCAACTCCTTTTGTTTTCTGTTCCCCCTACTAGTAATAGCAATCCTGATGGATATGATGCATTTCATTGTGCTTTTGATTTGCATTTCTGTAATGATTAGTGACATTTAACATCTTTTCATGTGCTTATTTGCTATTTGAATATCTTTGGAGAAATGTCTGTTCAAATCCTTTGTTCGCTTTTGAATTGGGTTGTTTCTTATTGTTGAGTTTAAGGGATTATTTATATATTCTGGATATTAATCCCATATCAGATGTATGATATTTTCTTCTATTTTGTGCATTTTCTTTTTACTCTGTCAATAGTGTCTTTTGATGAACAAAAGTTTTACATTTTGTCCGGTTTTTACTTTTGTTGCCTATGCCTTTGTGTCATACTCAAGAAATAATTGCCAAATCCAATGTCATGAAACTTTTCCCTTCTATTTTCTTCTAGGAGTTTTATGATTTTACATTTCCTAGTTATGGTTTTAGCTGCAAGTTTAGGTTTTTTTGTTTTTGTTTTTGAAATTAGGTCTCTCTCTGTTGCCCAGGCTGGAGTGCAGTCATGGCTCACTGTAGCCTCTACCTCCTGCACTCAAGTGATCCTCCTGCCTCAGCCTTCCAAGTAGCTGAGACCACAAGTGTATGCCACCACGCCCAGCTAATTTTTTATTTAGTTTTTTAGAATTTTTTTGAGAGGGAGTTTTGCTCTTGTTGCCCAGGCTGGTTGTAGTGGCACAATCTCAGCTCACCTGGATTCAAGCGATTCTCCTGCCTCAGCCTCCCAAGTAGTTGGGATTACAGACATGCCCAGCTAATTTTTTGTATTTAGTAGAGACAGGGTTTCTCTACTAAATACCATGCTACCATGCCCAGCTAATTTTTGTATTTAGTAGAGACAGGGTTTCATCATGTTGGGCGGGCTGGTCTTGAACTCCTGACCTCAGGTGATCCACCCGTCTTGGCCTTGCAAAGTGCTGGGATTACAGGCGTGAACCACTGTGCCCAGCCTAATTTTTTATTTTTTGTAGAGGTGAAGTCTTAACTATGTTTCCCAGGCTAATCTCAAACTGGTTGGCTTCAGCAATCCTCCTGCCTTGGCCTTCCAGAATATTGGGATTACAGCTGTGAGCCCGTTTACCTGGCCTAGTTTTAATTTCTGACATTTAGGTTTTTGATCCATTTTGAGTTAATTTTTGTATATCATCTAAGGTCAGAGTTTAGCTTCATTCTTTTTCATGTAGATATTCAGTTTTCCTGGAACATTTGTTGAAAAGACTGTCCTTTCCCCATTGACTGCTCTTGGCATCCTTGTCAAAAATCATTTGACCATACATGCCAGGGTTTATTTCTGAGCTCTCTGTTTTTCTGTATTTTTTTTTTTTTTTTTTTTTTTTTGAGACAAAGTCTTGCTCTGTTGCCACAATCTGGGTTCACTGCAACCTCTGCCTCCCAGGTTCAAACAATTCTGGCTCAGCGTCCCAAGTAGCTGACAGTCAGGCATGTGCCACCACGCCCAGCTGATATATATGTATTTTTTTTAGTATTGATGGGGTTTTATCATGTTGGCCAGGCTGGTCTTGAACTCCTGACCTCAAGTGTTCGGCCTGCGTCTGCCTCCCAAAGTGCTTATAGGCATGAGTCACTATGCCTGGCCTGGGCTCTCTGTAACTGATTCCATTGGTCTATATGTCTGTCTTTGTTTTTATTATTATTTTTTTGAGACAGGATCTTGTTTGTTGCTACAGCTGGACTACATTGGTGCAGTCTCAGCTCACTGCAACCTCTACTTCTGGGGCTCAAGCCATTTTCACCTCAGCCTCCTGAGTGGCTGGGTGGATCACCTGAGGTCAGGAGTTCAAGACCAGCCTGGCTAATATGATAAAACCCCATCTCCACTAAAAATATAAAAATTAGCTGGGCATGGTGACAGGTGCCTGTAATCCTAGCTACTTGCGAGGCTGAGGCAGGAGAATGGCTTGAACCCAGAAGGCAGAGGTTGCAGTGAGCTGAGATTGTGCCATTGTACTCTAGCATCGGCAACGAGAGCCAAACTCTGGGGAAAAAAATGCCTGTGTTATAATAAATAGAAGAGAATGATTGTGGCTCAGTTGTGTTAAAAAATGAAGGAGGTAGTAGGATATGAGATTTTTGGTTATTTTCTTCTTTGCATTTTCCTATGTTTTATGAAGCTTTTATAATTAACATTTTTTATAATCAGAAAATACATTAATTTTACCATTTTATCTAGCAATTCCAATTCTGGGTATATACCAGAAAAAAAAAAAGAAAAGGAAAAAAAGGGCTCAAATAGGTATTTGTACATCAGTGGTCACAATAACACTATTCACAGCAGCCAAATGGTGGAAACAACCCAAATGGCCATCTATGGATGAAACGGATTCACAAAACATGGCATACAGATACGATGGAATATTATTCAACCTTAAAAAGGAAGGAAATTCTGATAGATGCTACAACATGGTTGACTTGAAGATATGCTAAGTGAAATAAGCACTAAAGGACAAATAATGTATAATTCCATTTATGTGAGGACAATATACAAGCACATAGAAACAGAAAATAGAATGGTGGTTACCAGGGACTGTAGGGAGAGGGGAATGGGGAGTTATTGTTTAATGGATACAGACTTTCAGTATGGAATGATGAAAAAGTTCTGAATGAAGGCAGACAGTGGAGATTATTGCAAAACAATGTAAATGTATTTAATGTCACTAAACTGTATACTTAAAAATGGTTAAAATGGTAAATTTTATCATATATATTTTACTGCAATAAAAAATTTCAAAAAGAAAACCTTCAAGGCACCAATAAGACAGTGCAACATCTTCTTAACATGGAATATAAAGCAATATGGCCTCAACTTGCATTTTTAGGCCTTCCTTCGACCATTCCCTCCACCCACACCAATATTTTTGGCAGACATCCACACTTAAACAGTCACCAGTCTCCAAATACTGTATGTGCTACTGAGCCTCCATGCCTTTAAACATTTTGTTCCCTATGTGTATTCACCTGGTAAAACTAACCATCCCTCAAAGTATAGCTTAAAAGTCAAATTAAAAAAAAAAAAGTCAAATATTCAGAGAACCCTTCTTAATACCTTTCCTTTCCAACATAATGAAATGCTCCATTTAAATCATGATTAATACTATCACCTAGGCTCTGAATTCCATCTTTCTTTACTACTCAGTAATCATCTCCTTCTTATTTTTGGTAAAGATGGCATTTCACTATGTTGCCCAGGCCGGTCTTGAACTCCTGAGATCAGGAGATCCACCCACCTAAGCCTCCCAAAGCACATTAAGTAAGCACTCTTCATCTCTACAGTAACAGCAACAACTATCATTATTTATTTATTCATTCATTCACTCTTGAGACAAAGTTTCGCTCTTGTTGCCCAGGCTGGAGTGCAATGGTGTGATCTTGGCTCATCGCAACCTCCGCCTCCCAGGTTCAAGCAATTCTCCTGCCTCAGCTTCCTGAGTAGCTGGGATTACAGGCATGTGCCACCACACCCTGCTGATTTTGTATTTTTAGTAGAGACAGGGTTTCTCCACGTTGGTCAGGTTGGTCTCAAACTCCTGACCTCAGGTGATCTGCCTGCCTCCGCTTCTCAAAGTGTTGGGATTACAGGCATAAGCCACCAGGCCAGGCCAACAACTACCATTTATTGAGTACCTACTCTGGACTTGGCATTTTGCTAAGTGCTTTACAGGTGTTATGTCATTTAATTCTCACAATATCCCTCCCTAGGTAGATACAACCAAAACCATTTTATACATAAGAAAACTCAGGCTTACAGATGTTAAATATCTTTCTACAACTATGAGGTGTAACTGAGAATAAAATCTAGTTCTAACTCCAAAGCATATGCTCTTTCCACTCCATTTAACTCATTAATCAACAAATATTTACGGAACAACTATATGCCAGGTACAGTGCTAAACAATGGAGTTATAATGAGGAAAAAAGAATGCATATAAATCCCTGCCATCATGGAGCTTACAGTCTAGAGAGAGAAAGATTAATTAAACATTGAAATTTAAACTGTGATGAGAATTTTACTCTGCCAAATTAAAAGAAAGAAAGATTGTATGTCACTACTGTTACTACCAATCTTCCTTTCTTTTCTGCACAATTAAGTTTCCTCAAAGTTGAGTTGATTCTCCTTTTATTTTCTCATCCCTCCTCACTCAAAACTATGCTTTTTTTAGTTCTAAAGCAGAAACTCTTCTTCCAAAATTATCAAAATCTCATTAGCTGCCAAATCTGACATTTTACATTTTTATTTATTTTTTAATTGACAGTTTTGCTATGTTGCCCAAACTCCTGGGCTCAAGTGATCCTCCCACTTCAGCATCTTGAGTAGCTGAGACTACAGACACCAAATCTTTAAGCTTTTATATTACTTTTATCTTTATTATCTCACTTTAAACTACTATCTTGAAACTCTTTCTTTTCGCTTCTCTAACACTTTCCTCTTTCTATTTTTCCTATTACTCTCCTCATTCACCAGTCTATTCACTGCACTTCCTCTACTAATCCTTTAAATGTTTGTATTCCTTGATCTACTAGTCCCTTAAATGTTTGTATTCCTTGATCTTCTCTCCTTACTCCTTTGGTGACCTCATCCACATCTATGACTTCAACTGAAGTTTACGAAACCTGAAACTCCAACTGCTAATATAAGTTCCAGATCCTTATATTCAAATGACTATGGGACATCTCTGCTTGAAATGTTCCATAAGTGTCTCAAACTCAGAATGTTATGAAACATTTTTCTTTTTTATTTCCACTAAGTAAACCACACCACAATCAATGGTAACGTTTCAAATCAAAACATCCTAGGCCTCTACTCCCAAAATTCTACATCCTGAATCTCTCTTAAAGCTCAACTCCATTCTCACTAACTACTACATCAGGTCAGTAGTCATCATAGCTTAACTAGATTATTATGAAAGGCTAACTGGTCTTCCCAAACAGACCCTTCTCACGCTTCTTTCACACTGAGGCCAGGGTGAGTGACCTTGCAGAAATACACGTTATGTCCGGGAATGGTGGTTCATGCCTGTAATCCCAGCACTTTGGGAGGCCAAGGCGGGTGGATCATGAAGTCAGGAGTCCAAGACCAGCCTGGCCAACATGGTGAAACCCCGTCTCTACTAAAAATGCAAAAATTAGCCAGGAGTGGTGGCACACACCTGTAATCCCAGCTACTTGGGAGGCTGAGGCAGGAGAACTCCTCGAACCCAGGAAGAAGAGGTTGCAGTAAGCCGAGATTACACCATTGCACTTCAGCCTGGGTGACAGAGGAAGACTCCATCCCGAAACAAACAAACAAATATGTTATTAACTCCATAATGCTCAAAATAAAATCCAAATACTCTTAACACAGAATACACATGCAAAACCAAAACTCCACATCTATCAAGCAATAACTCCCCATTTTCCCCTTCTCCAAGCCTCTGGCAACCACTATTCTGTCTGATTCTGACTACTCTACAAACTTCATATAAGTGGAATCATACCCTATTTTTCATTTTGTAACTGGCTTATTTCACTTAGCATAATTTCTCAAGGTTTATCCATGTTGTAGCATATTGCAGAATTTCAATCCTTTTTTTTTTTTTGAGACGGAGTTTCGCTCTTGTTACCCAGGCTGGAGTACAATGGCGCGATCTCGGCTCACCGCCACCTCCGCCTCCTGGGTTCAGGCAATTCTCCTGCCTCAGCCTCCTGAGTAGCTGGGATTACAGGCACGCACCACTGTGCCCAGCTAAGTTTTTGTATTTTTAGTAGAGATGGGGTTTCACCATGTTGACCAGGATGGTCTTGATCTCTCGACCTCATGATCCACCCGTCTCGGCCTCCCAAAGTGCTGGGATTATAGGCTTGAGCCACCGCGCCTGGCCCTTCAATCCTTTTTAAGGCTAAGTAATATTCCATTGTAAGAATACAGCACATTTTGCTTATCTATTCACCCATCAATGGATATCGGAATTTTTCCACATACTAGCTATCGTGAATAACGTTGCTATGAACCTGGGTATATAAATATCTCTTTGAAACCCTGCTTTCAATTCTTTTAAGTATATACCCAGAAGTGAAATTACTGGGCCATACAATAGCTTTAAGAGGACCAACCACAGAGGTCTGGATTTCTTTTTGTGCCATTTTCTCATTTCAGTTACACTGTCCTGTGAATTCTGGCTACCTTGGATTTAGTGGACTCTAAAGTCCCTCTCTTTAACTGTGAGAGTCCACTGGGTTCCCTAACCTGTAGTACAACCTAGAAACTCTCTCAAGCTACAGCAAACATTGGGCTCACATCATTCGTTTTTCATTCATTGACTGTCCTTTGTTGCCTGAAAACCACGGCTTCGTATTTTTTTGTTTGTTTTGGTCATTTCAAGGGACAAGTAAATCCACTGTTACTCTAACTTCACCAAAAGTAAAAGTCCTATATGGCTGCATTCAAGTTTGCTTTCTTTTTTGTAAATGTTCTGTAATGTTCTAAAGATTCCCTATATTGGCTGAGCATCCCTAACCTTAAAATCAAAATGTGAAATGCTCTAAAATCTAAAACTTTTTGAACACCAACATGATGCTCAAAGGAAATGCTCATTAAGGCATAATGCAAATATTCCAAAATCTGAAAAAATCCAAAATACTTTGGTCCCAAGCATTTAGGATAAGGTATATAGCTGTAATGTGTATAGCTATAATTTTTTTTCTTTTCTTTTTTGGAACAAGCGTCTCACTCTCTCGCCCAGTCTAAAGTGAAGTGGTATGATCTTGGCTCACTGCAACCTCCACCTCGTGGGTTGAAGCAATTCTCATACTTCAGCCTCCCAAGAAGCTGGGATTACAGGCACATGTCCAAATAATTTTTATGTATTTTTAGTAGAAATGCCCCTAATTATTAAGTATTTTTAGTAGAAACAGGGTTTCACTACGTTGCCCAGGCTGATCTCAAACTCCTGGACTCAAGTAATCTGCCTGCCTTGGCCTCCCAAAGTGCTGAGATTACAGACCTGAGCCATCATGCCCAGCCTAGGTATGATTTTCTTTTTAAGTTTCTTGCTTGCCCAGGTGAAACCCTGTCTCTATTAAAAACACAAAAATCAGCCAGGCATGGTGGCACGTGCCTGTTATCCCAGCTAGCTGGGCAGCTGAGGCAGGAGAATCGCTTCACCTGGGAGGTGGAGGTTGCAGTGAGCCAAGATCGCACCACTGCACTCCAGCATAAATGACAGAGTGCGACTATTTCCAAAAAAAAAAGTTCCTTGCTTACAATCCCGAGCTTCCTGGACCAATCATAGGCATCTTCCGACATTTCTGGGAAATTCCTAATTATTATCACCTAAACTACTGTCTTCTCCCTGTTCTATTTGCTTCAGTTTATTCATTTTTTTTTTCAAGAAGACTATGTTGAGCACTGTGTCAAACACTGACCTAAGCAACTCACGAACAAAAACAAGTAATTAAATATGCCTTCTAGAATACTGCATACTGAAGTCTAGAAAGGAAAAGAAAGCAGACAGCCAGAATACAGTGTGTTAGGCTTTCTGATCAAGGTATATGAAAGTTGTTACAGGAGCACAGAGGAGTATCCAACCCAGACTTGCTGAGAGGGTCAGATAGAATATTTCTGAAAGAAGCTATATGAGCTAAGACTTAGAGATAAGAGGTTACACAGTTGTTGCAACTTTAAAAAAAAAAATTAAATAGCTAATTTATGAATATATTTTAAAAGGATTTTACTCATATCTATGTCTATGGGATATTTTTATGGAAATAACTGAAAAATTACAAATTCCCAAAGTTCATAATGTTCTTAATGGTCTGCACTTCTCCAGCTTTGTATCATACCATTTCCCCCCCCTCACTCTCTTTTTGTTCCAATCATACTAGACTTTCGGTTATTCATATACCATGTCTTTTCCTGCCTAAAGACTTTTAATTCATGCTACTTTTTATGTAAAATACTCTCCCACTTAACCTTCTAGGCCACTCACCATTTTGCCATTTAAACCACTACTTTAAGGTTCAATTCAAATGTCACTTTCTCAGAGAAACCTCCCCTGTTCTAGATCAAATAAAATATTCTCGTATACTTCCTTAGCACAATCTTCCCCTTTAACAAGACTTATTATATTTAAACCTTCATTCAATGCATGCCCTCATCAATCTTAGAAAATCTTAGGTCAAGAACCACAACTATCTTATTCACACTGCCTAGAACTAGCACATAAGAAATCAATAAACATCAGTTAGAAAGATTGTACCTGACCACTCTCAACTTAGGAATCAACATTCTACAGGGTGAACAAACTGGTCTCAAGAAGGTTCCTTTCTGATTACCTCAAATAAGGAAAGCAATCATACCTTCCAAAGCTATCACTCCAGTTACTAATGTAAGTTTGGAAAGCTATTTCATTTTTAGTTTCAGAAAAAATATTTGATATGGTTTTACAGTTTGAAAAATAAATAAAAACATTTTTCAAAAAGAACTTACCAAAATATTTTTCTTATGTCGTTTCTCCTTTATATGTTTATGAGCTCCCTGGATATTTTCAATGTGTATTAAGCAAAGTTTGCACAGATACCGGCAATTGGTATATTCTGGTGATCGCTGAAAAGACAATTTTTAAAAATGTATTTTATTCAGAAAACAAAGGAGTAAACTAATGACTATATAAGCAAATAATACTATTATGTAAATAGACAGAAATAAACACTGAAGGACTTTTCTTTATCTTTTCCTTATTCTAAAGTAATAGTTTTTAATAAACGTATGTACCCAAGAGACAGCAGTCCTTTTTCAAAATAGTCATCAAAGGAAATTACATACTAACTTCAATACAATATCTAACAATATCATATTAACGCTAATTTATGTTTAATATTCACCTAGTATCATCTGTAGAATCCAAGTAAGAAAAGTAGTCAGGCCAGGTGTGGTGGCTATGCCTGCAATCCCAGCACTTTGGGAGGACAAGGCTGGCAGATCACTTGAGCTCAGGAGTTGGAGACCAACCTGGACAACATGGAGAAACCCAGTCTCTACTAAAAATACAAAATTTAGCCACGCATGGTGGCACATGCCTGTAATCCCAGCTACTCGGGAGGCTGAGACATGAGAATCCATTGAGCCCAGAGGCAGAGGTTGCAGTAAGCCAAGATTGCACCATTGCACTCCAGCCTGAGGGACTGTAATCCCAGCACTTTGGGAGGCCAAGGTGGACAGATCACCTGAGGTCAGGAGTTCAAGGCCAGCTTGGCCAACACAAAACTCCAACTCTACTAAAAATATAAAAATTAGCTGGGCATAGTAGCGCATGCCTGTAATCCCAGCTACTCTGTAGGCTGAGGCAGAAGAATTGTCTTAGCCTGTGAGGCGGAGTCTGCAGCAGCGAGCTGAGATCGAATCACTGCACTCAATCCTAGGCGACAGAGTAAGACTTCATCTCAAAAAGAAAAGAAAAAAGAAAAGTGGTCTTGCTATTTAGTCTTAGTCCAATGTCGTCCCCAAACTGATTTCAAACTTAACTTGTAGCCATTTTGATTACTGTAAAAAAATTAAATCTGTCCTCGAATTGGGGATTTCAAAAGAATGGGCCACAAATATATGAAAGAAATTTCAAAAGTTGAGTTTCAAAAACACTCCCATCACAGTATCATGGGAATAACCTCTTGAGGTCACTACTGAAGGGAATAACAATTCTGATACACTAAAGTATCAGTCACAGAACTTCACTCATACATCATATATGTATTCTCAAAATACTAATAAAACGTAGTAATTACTGAGTACCTGTTATGTGCCAGGTACTATGCTAGGTATTTGAAGTACACTTTGTCATTTTAATTCCCCTAATCGTTTTCATCTTCTAGATGTGAAAAAAGAAGCCCATACAGCCAGTACCTTTTATAAGGATATAGCAGTATTAAGTGGAAGACATTGAATTTAAATTCCTGTACATCTGAATCTGAAGCCAACATTCTACACAGAAGACTAAGACTACACAATAAAAAATTACAAAAACACAGTAAATACATGTGGAATTTTTAAAGTTTCTAATGCCTTATACTGAAATTTCAGCAATGCTTAGTTTTATTTCAGACTGATTTACAACATTCAACAGGCTTCAGCTTCTGACAAAAAGATTATTTTTAACTCAGAAAATTACATATGATTTCTTTTAAATGAGAAACTCATTCCAAATTTAGTGACAGTCCTGCTATAGACTAAAAATAAAAACACAACCATCATTTATAGAGTTATCTATTGACCTTACAACAACCCTACAAAAATTCTCCATTTTATTGGCAAACTCAATCTCAGGGATTGAATAATTTGCCCAAGGCAACAAGTAAATAAGAAGAGCTGGTTCAATCTAGTTATTTCAATTCTTTAGCATAAATATTCTATCAAATCAGTTCCTGTTGGAGAATGAATTAAGTCCTCAAAGAAAACACTACCTCTTCGTTTCAAAGCAACTACTACTTTACTTACCAAATATCTTCTGAGCTCATATTACACAGTAAATACTTTTCTAGTACCTGGGGATAACAGCAGTAAACAAAATAGAAATCCCTGTCTGTATGAATTTACATTATAGTGTAAGAAGACAGGTAATAAACAAATGCACAAATAGGCACAGAGTAGGAGTTACTGCTTTTAAAAAGTAGAGACATCACTAAGACCTTATTGATAAAGTAACTTTAAGGAAGTAAAGAATTAAGCTGAGTGGATATTTGAAAAGACACATGTCAAGCAGAGGTAAAAGTGAATGCCAAGGCCCTGAAGCAGGAAGGTACCTAAAATATTTGAGAAACTACAAAAAAGTTAAGTATAACTGGAACAGAGAGCTACTATGGGCCAGATCACAAGATCCCTTGTGAAGACTTTGGCTTTTATCCTAGTATGAGGGAAAGCCGTCGGAGGTTTTTGAGCAGAGAATTACAAGATCTAATTTATATTTTGAAAGAATCATTTGCTTTCTATATTAAGAACAGAAGCAGAAAAAGGTATTGCAGTTATCAGCATAATGCAATAACAAAAAAAAGAGATTACATTGGCTTAGTTCAAGATGAGAGTGGTGAAGGTGATAAAATGAGTTGCTTTCAGGAATTGAAAGTATATATACAGAAGCTGGGCGTGGTGGCTCATGCCTGTAATCCCAGCACTTTGGGAGGCTGAAGCGGGCAGATCACCTGAGTTCAGGAGTTCGAGACCAGCCTGACCAACATGGTGAAATCCCATCTCTACAAAAAACTTAAAAATTAGCTGGGCATGGTGGCAGGCGCCTGTAATCCCTACTTGTGAGGCTGAGGCAAGAGAATCGATTGAACCCTGGAGGCAGAGGTTGCAGTGAGCTGAGATTGCGCCACTGCACTCCAGCCTGGGCAACAAGAGCAAATCTCTCTCAAAAAAAAAAAAAAAAAAAAAAAAAAAAAAAAGCTGTGAGAATAAATTTGGTTAAAAAACTTAAAAAAATAAAAATAAAAAGGCATATATACTGAATACCTAAAGCCCTGTGTACTGACTGATGCGGTCACTAAGGAAGTCATAAAATCAATCATATGAATCTTTCAACTGTAAAATGTTAGCAGACAAAAAGAAGAATGTTAGCAGACAAAGAAGCAGACGTGTCTACCAAGAAAATCTTCATATGAGGACAGCATGATTGCTCATGCCTATAATCCCAGCACTTTGGAAGGCCAAAGCGGGCAGATCACCTGAGATTGGGAGTTCAAGACCAGCCTGACCAACATGGAGACCACCCTGCCTCTACTAAAAAAAAAAAAAATACAAAATTAGCTCGGCCTGGTGGTGCATGCCTATAATCCCAGCTACTTGGGAGGCTGAGGAAGGAGAGTCACTTGAACCCCAGAGGCAGAGGTTGCGGTGAGACAAGATATCACCATTGCACTCCAGCCTGGGCAACAAGAGCGAAACTCTGTCTCAAAAGAAAAAAATACTGGTATTACACTGAATGGAGGAGAGTCAGAAGGCCTCGGATGACGTCTCAACTGACCTTGGATAAAGATCTATCACTACAGTCTAATTCTATCTCCTTATTTATAATAATAAAAACCGTCCAACCTGGTAAAATAATTTAGTTTGACAAGTAGCTCATATTTCTTACTACATACCAGGTCTTGTGCTAAAAACTTTACTTGTATCATCTTACTTAATCCTCATAATAGTCCTATGAGCTAGGTGTTATAATTGTTATCAACCCCATTTTACTGATGAGTAAACTGATGTTTAAGTAATTTAAATAATGTACCCAAGGTTATCCAACCAAAAAGTAGCAGAGCTAGACCCAATGACTCCAAAATCCATGCACTTGACCACTGTGTACACTCTGCAATTACCAACCAACTGCTTCGTGCAAGGCATGTATTAGGCACGATATCTAATCAGACAAAACTGCTCTCCTCATCATAAACTTTCTAGCTTCACAGAAGAGACATAAGAAAAATATTTCAACATTTCTTTTATTATAGCTTTATTTTACTATTAAGTAAACTGGCTAATAAATCTTTAACTTTCTGCAAACAAGCTAGAACAAAGATTTCTGGGTATTTCCTACTCAATATGTAACATTCAACCATAAGAAAATTTACCCTTCTCATCTAATGGTTTAGACTAACTTCTTCTTTGGTACAGAGCAAACATCTACAGTCTACATCTTTATTCTTCAATTAGATAATCTATGGACACTATGAACCAAAGGACCTGAAGATATTAAAAAAAAAAAAACCTGGGAATATTCTTAGTGAGTACCGAAATTTGGTAAAGAAAAATGTTCATTAAGAGTACAAGCTGACTGTAGTATTGCATGTCTGTAGTTCCAGCTACTTGGGAGGCTGAGGCATAAGAATCACTTGAACCCAGGAGGTAGAGGCTGAGATCACACAACTGCACTCCAGCCTGGGAGACAGAATGAGACCCTGTCTTAAAAAAAAAAAAAAAAAAAGCACAATAAATTTGCCCGAGCACTGTGGCTCACGCCTATAATCTCAACACATTGGGAAGCTGAGGTAGGTGGATCACTTGAGGTCAGGAGTTTGAAGCCAGCCCAGGCAATCTTGTGAAACGCCATCTCTATAAAAATTTTTAAAAAACCAGAAGGCATGGTAGTACATGCCTGTAGTCCCAGCTACTCGGGAGGCTGAGGTACCTGAGCCTGGAAGGTCGAGGCTGCAGTGAGCCGTGATTAGATCACTGCAATCCAGCCGGGGAAACCAGAGTGAGAGATCCTATCTAAAAAAATTTTAAAAATAAAAAAATGAGGCATGGCACAGTGGCTCATACCTGTAATCACTTTGGGAGTCCGAGGAGGGCAGATCACTTGAAGTCAGGAATTCGAGACCAGACTGACCAACATGGTAAAACCCCGCCCTCTACTAAAAATACAAAAATTAGCTGGGCATGGTGGTAGGCATCTGTATTGCCAGCTACTCAGGAGGCTGATGCAGGAGAATCGCTTGAACCCATGAGGCGGAGGATGCAGTGAGCTGAGACCATGCTACACTCCAGCCTGGATGACAGAGCAACACTCCGCCTCAAAAAAAAAAAAAATAGAAAAGAAAAAAAGAGTACAATGAATTGAAAATAAGAAGCTTGGAGGGCATGAGAAATAAAGAGGTGGCAGAAAGAAAAGGGATTAGAGATATCTATGTTGGTACTAGCACAGTGACTTTACATCATAACTGACTATATAAATTCAACAACAAATAAAATGTTTTCCAATGCTTCTAAGCTTTATTTTCACCCTAGAGTATTGTTTCTTACTACCAACCATCAAATACCCACCTATTCCATCCCAACTTCTTCCTTCTTTCAAGAACTGACGTTTCCTGCTTCATTCCTATGTAAATTCCTAACCAGTTCTCTGCTTATTTTTTCACATTTCCTGGATACATGCAATTTACCTGCACCATCCTTCTCCTACCTAAGTGGTCAATTTCTAGCCATTCCTTGAGACTTAGCTCCAATGTCACTTTATTTATTTTTTTTTTATAAAGACAGGGTTTCACCATGTTGGTAAGGCTGGTCTTGAACTCCCGACCTCAGGCGATCCACCTGCCTTGGCCTCCAAAGTGCTTGGATTAAAGGAATGAGCCACCACGCCCGGCCCAATGTCACTTTATAAAGCATTCTTCAAATTTATGCCTTTATACTCACGATTCAAGTTGGTCACTCTTTGTCTATGATCTCATTTTCAAAACATACCATTATTATCACTATTATTTGCTTATGTGTTTTCCTCTAATTAGTGAACTCCTAGAAAAGCAATCATGTTTTTAAAATGTCAGGTACTAGATCACGGCACATAAAAGGCACTCAATCCCAGCCTATAGGAATGAAGGAAAAAAAAGGCACTCAATATTAATTTTGACAATGGACAAAATTATAACACCTAACACACAGGGCTGTTATGAGGATTAAATAAGATAATGCAAGTAAACTTTTTAGCACAAGATCTGCTATGTACTAAATAAAAATGAGCAGAATTAAATTATTTTACCAGGAGGTCAATCTTTATTTTATTATAAATAAGGAGATAGAATCAGGTTCCAGTGATAGAGATTTATCCAAGGTCAGTTGAGATGTCATCCAGAAATAACTACTCATTTCAGAGGAAAAGTGAGGACTAAGTAAAGACAAAACTAAAAGGCCAGGTGCGGTGGCTCAAGCCTATAGTCCCAGCACTTTGGGAGGCCAGGGTAGGTGGATCATTTGAGGTCAGGAGTTTGAGACCAGCTTGGCCAATATGGTAAAACTACTTCTCTACTAAAAACACAAAAATTAGCTGGGTGTGGTAGCGGGCGCCTGTAGTCCCAACTACTCGGGAAGCTGAGGCAGGAGAATTGCTTGAACCCAGGAGGTGGAGCTTACAGTAAGCTGAGATAGTGTCACTGCACTCCAGCCTGGGTGACAGAGCAAGACTCTACCTCAAAAAAAAAAAAAACTAAGTAAAAGGGCAAATTGCAAAAAAGACTTCCTTTCGACTAGGATCTTATAAAACTAGCTATACAACCCCAACTCTCTCCTATATTATGGTCCTCTACTCCTTGATATTCCTTTCTCTTTTCATGTGGGGACTACTCTGCTGTAAGTTCTATTAAGAATCCAGGATTATCTTCTTCAATCTAGATATAATTTCATTTTTCTAAACTACACAAAATCGTACCATTTCTTTCCTTATTTATCAAGAATGATGATCTATTTCCTTGTATGCATATTCACAAATAACCAAAGCATCTATCTGTCAGTAGTTTGATTTGTGATTTTTTTTTTTTTTTTTTTTTGAGATGGAATCTTGCCTGTTGTCCAGGCTGGGAGTGCAGAGGCGCAATCTTGGCTCACTGCAACCTCTGTCTTCTGAGTTCAAGCAATTCTCCTGCCTCAGCCTCACAAGTAGCTGGGACTTTACAGGTGCTGACCACCACACCTGGCTAATTTTTGTATTTTAGTAGAGATGGGGTATCACCATGTTGGTCCGTCTGGTCTCGAATTCCTGACCTCAAGTGATCTGCTTGCATTGGTCTCCCAAAATGCTGGGATTACAGGTGTGAGCCACCAGGCCCGGCTGTGATTTGTGATTCTTTCCTTCAAAACCTAGCAGTGCTTTTATTGAGGGCAAGAATGTGTATTTCTAGGTTAAGAAATTAATACACAGAATAAGATACCAATGGCTATGATAGTTCCTAATACACAGTAAATATTCAATAAATCTAGGAAAATAGAAAAAGGAGGAAGTCTAGCGTATTATGACATTTACTATTTTATTTCCACCAATCTGAATGAACTTTTAACTTCTAATGGGAAGAAACTGCCATTTTCACTAATACATCCCCAGTGCCTATCATAATACCTGGCACAAAACAAGCGCTCAGTATCTGATTAGTGACTATATCAGAGGTCAGCAAGTTTCTTCTGTAAAGGGGCAAAATAACATTTTGGTAGACATTTTATGCTTTGGCAAAGAATAAACATTGTATGCTTTTCAAGGCATATAAGCTCTGTGGCAACTACTCAACTCAAATTTCCCATCGTAGCATGAAAGCAGCCATAGACAATATGTAAACAAATAGGCATGGCTATATTCCAATAAAATGTTTACCAAAAACAGTGGGGGGTTAGATGTACTTTAACATATCCAAAAACAAAAACAAGGGGTAGACTATAGTTTGCCAATTCTTGGGATGAATGAATTAAGTCAGACTCATAGATAATAAGTAACTGCTGAAAAAAGAGGCAAGGAAGAAAAGAAAGAGGGAAAGAAGAAAGGCAGAAAAGAGGGAAGTAGGCAAGATGAATGCTACCTCTGTCTTATGAATAAAAGAAAAATAAAAAGAGCTGTACTTGGGGGAAAAAGTTAAGTTATGAAACACACATTTCCCTCCAAATAACTAAAACAACATAGCATACTTTTTCAAGTCGAAAGATGTGATCTCTTTCTAAGCGTTCTTCTGCTTGTTTCAACCCCAGCCTCTGTTCAGGTGTCAATGCAGATTCATCTATCACAGTGGCATTTTCTAAATAGTCCATCTCTGAAGAATTTTCTTTATTAGATTCATCATTCTTCATCTTATCTAGAAAAGAAGGCAATCACTCAGTTATCATCATCAGAACTGGAAAATTTTTAAATTTTTAATGGAAAACAGACATTAAATTTATACACAGAAAAAAATATGATTTCCTTATATTTTCCTTAGGAAAGTATACAAATTGGTATACACATATAAAATAAAGGTAAGAGATATACATGGTATCAAAAGTTACAAAGAAAAACCTTCATGGGTCAACTGACTAGCTTGTTCTTCCAACCTACCCATCAAGAGATACATAACTGAGACATTATACAAAGCAAATATAAAATAATCATCTTATAGAATCTCTGAAGTCAATCTGATAAAAAACTGGAGTCCCACTCGAAGATTAATCACTGAACTAAATTCACTAACATATGTATACTCCAAACCACAAACCCACACAAGGCTCCTTCTTCTTTCCTTCCACTGAACTCATGGATATCTCCACTACATCAATGGTTTTACTTTACTTCTCTGCCTCCTAACTAGATTTTACTCTGAGGCACAGACTATGTTTCCACCTTTGCATCTGCAGCATCTAGCAATATATACCTAGCCTAGAGTAGGTTCCCCCACCAGTACGATTTTTAAAATATAAACCAAATCACGTTATCTTGCTTAAAACACATAAAAGCCTTTTGAAGAGTTCAGAATAAAATTTAAACTCCTTAGCATATTACACACAGTCCCTTGCCCTCATGAAGGCAGTAAACACAATAATTATAAATTGCAATAAATGTTACAAAGGAGAAAAGCAAGGAACTGAGAGGGAGACCAACTTTAGATCTAGGAGCCAGAGAAGGCTTCTCTGAGTAGGTATCATTTAAATCAAAACCTAAAGAAAAAAAATCTAGCTAATTTGCCTATAACTCTAACCTCGGATCTTGCCACAACACTTTTCGCTTCATATTAAATGTGCTAGAATGAACCACCAAAGCTGCTTTAAGTCTCAGTGTATTTACATATGCTATTCCCTTCTCCATTGATGCCCCCCCAATTAAATTAATAATATTTACCTGTCCTTCAAAATTCAGCTTAAGCACCATTTGTTTCATAAGCCACTCTGACATTCTCTTATTCTATTACCCTCTATTATCTCACATATGGTAATGGAATTTGTATTCATCTATCTATCTCCTACATTAAATGATGGTTTCCTTGATGCTAATGACCGGGTCTTACTTTTACCTTCAGATTTTAATATAATGACTAGACCAGAGCTAATACTCTGTTTCATGTTAAATAACTGAATCTGAATGTATCTAAAAGCATTTCCAAAAAGAAATGCTCATAGATCATCAAGAAATCTCTCCATTCTGTCCTCAAAAGCCAACTGCATGCCCTCTAGAGGAACCCTGACAGCCTATGTGGTTTTTTTTTTGTTTTTTTTTTTTTTGAGACAGAGTCTTGCTCTGTTGCCAGGCTGGAGCGAAGTGGTGTGATCTCAGCTCATTACAACCTCCGTCTCCTGGGTTCAAGCGATTCTCCTGCCTCAGCCTCCAGAGTAGCTGGGACTAAAGGAGCCTGCCACCATGACGGGCTAACTTTTGTATTTTTAGTAGAGAAGCAGCTTTTACCATGTTGGCCAAGATGGTCTCAATCTCTTTGCCTCATGATCTGCCCACCTTGGCCTCCCAAAGTGCTAGGATTACAGGCATTAACCGCTGCGCATGGCGCAATATACCCTTCAATAGCACTTATTTTCTGAACAAAGAAATGGTATGCTTCCAGAGATGGTGCAATTCCTACCACAAGAGTACAGGAGTTTCTAGAATAGGAAGGCAAACTCAGATAAGGATGTCATAAAAGGACTCAAACACCAGAAGTGTAGCTAGGTTAGTTAAGTGTTTCTTAAATTACAGTTGAAGGAACACTGATGCACCATAAGCAATTTGCAATTATGTCCTAATATTTGGAAAAATAATTCAGTTTTTTAGAAACCATTTTATTATGAAAATGTAAGAAAAGATGAAATTCTAGTATTATTTCTACTTTTCATGAAAAAGGGTAACAGGAAGACAATATAATAATATAAGCTTCTCTTTTCTATATGTATAACTGGCGTTGTATGACAAGGCAACCAAAATCTCAGCAAATCTTGTAAAACTATTGTTTCTGCTAATATAAAGAATTAGAGAAAGCTATGTATTTTCTTTAAAAGTCAGAAATAAAATTATTTAATTTTCTAGAATCAACATATAAAATAAAATAGTATCAGGCAGAATATTCTAAATTGTATTCCAAAGACACTAGTTTATTACATTAATACTCTCACAAAACAAGAACTGAAAACCTGTATCCACACAAAAACTTGCATATGAATGTTGAGAGAATGTTCACAATAGCCAAAGATGGAGACAAACCAAAAATTCATTATTGATGAATGGGTAAACAAAATGTGGTATATGTATACAATGGAATATTATTCATAATCAGCTCAAGCTGCCACAACAAAATACTACAGACTGGATGGCTTGAACAACAGAAATTTATTTTCTTACAGCTCTGGAGACTGAAAAGTCCAAGATTAAGGTTCCAGCAGGGTCACTGTTTGGTGAAGGCTCTCTCCTTGGGTTGCAAATAGCTACTTTCTTGCTGTTTGTTCACATGGCCTTTTCTTATAGGACAGAGGTTCTCTCTTCTTTTTATAAGGCCATATTAGGACATCACCCTACAACCTCATTTAACCTTAATTACCACCTAAAAGCCCTGTTTCCAAATACAATTACATTGGCGGTGAGGGATTCAACACACGAATTTGTGAGGGAACATAATCCAGTCCATAACAACAGCCTTAAAAAGGAATGAAGTACTGATACATGCTACAATATAGATAAACCTTAAAAACATGACACTAAATGAAAGCCACAGAAGACCACATATTATATGACCTCGTTTCTATGAAATATTTAGAATAGGCAAATACACAGAAATAGAAAGTTGCCAGAGACTCGAGAAAGTGGGGAATGGGGAGTAACGCTTAATGAATATGGGGTTTCCTTTTGGGATGATGAAAAAGTTCTGAAACTAGACAGTAGTAATGATTGTACAACACTGTGAATGTACTTAGTGCCACTGAACTGTAAACTTGAAAATGGTTAAGATGGTAAATCTTACATGGATTTATCACCAAAAAAAAATTAAATATGCAGTTAGCATACAACATAGCAATTCTACTTCTAAATATATATCCAGAAAAAATGCAAACACACATCCACACAAAAACTTTTACATAAATGTTCAGAGCAGCATTATTCAGAATAATCAAAAGATGGAAACAATCCAAATATCTATCAACTGATGAAAGGACAAAATGTAATATATCCATATAATGGAATATTATTTGGCAATAAAAGGGAATGATGTACCAATACATAATAACATGAATTCACCTTGAAAAAAATATGCTAAGCCCAAATAAGCCAGGCACAATAGGCCACATGTTATATTATTTCTTTTATATAAAATAAACACATCTACAGAGAAAGAAAATAGATGCATAGTTGTCAGTGGGGAGGAGGAGGAGTTAATGCATAGTGACTGCTAATGGGTATGGAGTTTCTTTGTGGAGTCATGAAAATGTTCAGAATTAGATAGTGATGGCAGCACAACTTTGTGAATACACTAAAAATTACTGAATAGATTTTTCAAATTAAAAAAATAGACTCAACAGCACAACAGAATTATATACTTTAAAAGGATTAATTTTATGACACACAAATCCCAACTACTTGGGAGGCTGAGGCAGGAGAACTGCCTAAACCCAGGAGGCGGAGGCTGCAGTGAGCTGAGATCGTGCCACTGCACTCCAGCCTGGGTGTCAGAATTGAGACCTTATCTCAAAAAAAAAAGAAGGCAAAGGAAGTTTAAGAGAGCTAGCCATATGGACATTTGGGGAATGAGTGTTTGAGGCAGAGGAAAAAGCAAATGCAAAGGTCCTCAGATGGTTATCTACCTTCTCAATTGAGGAAATTCAAGAAAATCATGCAGATGTAGCTGAGAGAAAGGGTGAGAAGTAAACAAATGAGGGCAAGGCAGAGAAATAGGGGAGTATCACAGATTGTGTAAGGCTCTACTAGCCACTGTAAAAACACTAGCTTTTACTCTTGATGGGAAACATTCTAAACAATAGTAATGTGATCTGACTTATTTTAACAGAATCATTCTGGTTGGTATGCTAAAAACACAATGAAGGGTGATAAAAGTGAAGTAAGATGAGTTGGTGCATGCTGCTCAAAAGCATAATCTTGACCAGTAGCATCAGCATCACTTGGGAGCTTATTAGAAATCCAATTTCTAAGGCCTTACCCTAGGCTTTCTGAAGCAAAAATCTCTGGAAATGAGGCCCAAGACACTGCATTTAAATATGATTTCCAAACAGTTCATATACATATTAAAGTTTGAGAAACCCAAATCAAGAATACTCTCCTGAAATATTCACCTGGCTCATTCACCTCTTTCCTTCAAGTATTTGCTGTAATGTCACTTTCTCATTGAAAACTTAGCTCCACCGCTACCAAGGTAGCATAATTTCCTATATCTTCCCTATTTCATTTTTCTCAAAGGATTTAAAACCACCTTACTTAACTTACTAAATATTTTTCGTATTTATTGTGTTTGTTATCTGTTTCACCCCACTAGAATATTAACTCCATAAGGGTGGAATTATCCGTTCCCTCATTTCTATATTCCTAATGACTAGTTCAATTCCTGGCATGTAGTAACACCAAAAAAACAAAAATTTATTGAATAAATGAATGAATGGCAAAAAGCAAAATGATGTAAGTGCTATATGGGAGCTAAAGTTAGGCCTAATGGAGAAGACTGAGATTAATCAAAGTCCAAATAGATAATGATCTAACCAGTTGTGGCAGCTCACCCCTAACATCCCAGCACTTTGGGAGGCCCAGGCAGACGAATCGCTTGAGGTCAGGAGTTCAAGACCAGCCTGGCCTACACAGTGAAACCTCATCTCTACTAAAAATACAAAAATTAGGTCG